TTCAGAAATGAAGAGGAAAATGAAGTCTTCCACTGCACATTTTATATGTAATATATACTGTATATGATGCCTTTTGATAATTACTGAAATGAAGACAGAATATATTGAAGATAGTTTCAGTGATGAATGGAAAATGGTATAGAGTAAGTCAGATGGGGGGAGGGAAGGTGGTGAAGGAGAGGGAAGGTGGTGAAGGAGAGGGAAGGTGGTGAAGGAGAGGGAAGGTGGTGAAGGAGAGGGAAGGTGGTGAAGGAGAGGGAAGGTGGTGAAGGAGAGGGAAGGTGGTGAAGGAGAGGGAAGGTGGTGAAGGAGAGGGAAGGTGGTGAAGGAGAGGGAAGGTGGTGAAGGAGAGGGACGGTGGTGAAGGAGAGGGAAGGTGGTGAAGGAGACGGAAGGTGGTGAAGGAGAGGGAAGGTGGTGAAGGAGAGGAAAGTTCAAGTACAAGTATGTTTATTAAGACAAGAAAAAAGATACATCTCAAAGGGATGGAGTAGCTTAGGCTATTTCTACCCCCCCCCCCCCCCCTCTATTTCAAGTCCCTCCAGGGGCGCACAAATTCAGTGAGTACAGATACACAAAATCACAATACAACATTTAACATTGCAGATTAATATAGCAAGCACAGCATATAAGTGTTACAATCATTGGGGCAAAATTCTTGTAGCTCCTAAGTATTCTGTCTATCATACCATTATCACACATCCAAACAATTTCATGTGGTACACTACTTATTTCCTTATTTCTATAGTTATCAATACGTTGACACTCTAATACCTAATGTTCTTTCAAGTTCAAGTATGTTTATTAAGAAGTTAAAAAAAAAAATCTCAAAGAGTAGCTTAGACTATTTCTACCCCTTCCCATACTTCAAGTCCCTCAAGGGGCGCACAAATTCAGTGAGTACAAATACAAGAATCCCATTTAACATTTCAGGTTAATATAGTACTATCTAAGAGTACATCCACCGCACTAGATTTTAACCTATTAACGCTCCAAGATAATATTCTCACTGTACTTTCATCCATGATTAATAATAAAACTACCTTTGCCCTGTCCGTCACATTCCATGAGATACGAGAGTTTCTCAGACAGACTCTTCCAACACTGTAACATATTTGCTTTCTCCTCACTTGCACAACACCTACTAACATCAAAGGTAATATTATTCATATCTATTTTTTTTAATTCTGTATACCGTTTTACTTTAACCTTTGTTTCAACATTTGTCACTACAGAAGGTTGAACACCGCTAACAATACTAGAAAGTTCATTTTCCTGACTATCTCTATCATCAATACGTCATGTTCTTCCTTACTTTCTTCTACGCACGTTTCACTTTCCATTTCACGTCCTGTTTCCCTTTCCCTTTCACGTCCTGTTTCACCTTCTATTTCACGTCCTGTTTCACTTTCCATTTCACGTCCTGTTTCACTTTCCATTTCACGTCCTGTTTCACCGCCATCTTCACCCCGTCTACCCTCCATAACTAATTTTTCTAATGCCTCAATCCTCTTGTCTAGTTTTTTTTAGATATTCCAATATTTGAATACCAACCTCCGAGTTCACTGTATTGTCCTGAACCTTGTTTCCACAAGGTTTAATTTTTTCACCTGCATTTCCTACTTTCCCAAGGCTCGCCTTAACTGTCTCCGTTCCTTTCTCCCACACATTGTTCATAGGCTGTTGTTGTTGTTAAAGATTCGCTACTTGGAACAAGCAGTTCCAAGTAGCACGGGCTATGGTGAGCCCGTAGGTACTTTGTTCATAGGCGCTGCCATTAGCTTCCAGCTGTTTCCTCTATGTTCCTGCTGCACAATCTTTCCTTCCTTCGAGGATACATCTATCCTACTTGTAGGACCCGTCCTAGAGTCTCTCAAATGAGGCTTCATTCGGCATAGATAATAACCAGCATTGTGGCTGCCTCGACAATTGCAACAAGATGGGACGATTTTTTTCACCGTTTTTAATCTTGACTCTACACTCGAGAGTCGTGTTTCTTACCACAGTACCGACACCTGGGGTCAAACTGGCATTTCCAAGCCATATGTCCCCAACGAGAACACTTCATGCATAATATAGTGCAACTTTCCTGTAGCCTAGTCCTTGCATAAAATTTCTTTATGGAGCCTCACCCTTTACCAAGGCAACAACCTGACTTTGTCTTTCACCACGAACACTGTTCCTCTTTGCCCAAACAACACTATCATTGTTGAGAAGAAGATAATCAGGATCCAATTAAGTTGGATACTTAAACACTATGATCTTGGTGTGCATCATACCTTCTTCGGGAGTAACCATCACAATATTCTCAAAACCCATCCTTCGTTAGGTGTTCCACAGCCTTTTCTGTCCCAACTGTTATGTAGGGCCGGTGAGCACCCTTCTTGAATAGTGGTTCATATTAAAAAAAAACTCCTTAGCCAAACGAATCGTCCACTCCAGCTTTTGATGAAAATTCAGTTGACACGCTGTAGGGAACAACAGCCTCTTCCTTCCATTAGTCTGCATCTCCCGCGTCCTGCTGAGCATGGCTGAGGCGGTCTGCTTCCATCGAGGAAATGGCTGAGGCGGTCTGCTTAGGTGATGGACGATCCTGCACTGGGCCTGGAGAGTGTGAGTGGGGATGATACTAGGCCATATCAAGCAGTAGTGAACAAATATAAACGACGAAATATTCAAAGACAGCGAGACGGAGACAGTGAGAAGGAAATAACAAAGAAACCAAAATATGAAGCCATGCTCAGCAGGACGCTCAAGTGTCGCGTCAGACTAGAAATAAAAATGAATTTTGGAGAATTGATTTTTGAATTACCTCCAACAGTGAAAAGAAATGTACGAAAGATTGAGAAAATTCGTGTTAGAATTATTTATCTTACTTTTTCGGTCATATTTAATAATATATGTCTACAGGAAAGACTGCTACCAAAATATACTAATATATATATATATATATATATATATATATATATATATATATATATATATATATATATATATATATATATATATATATATATATATATATATGTCGTACCTAATAGCCAGAACGCACTTCTCAGTCTACTATGCAAGGCCCGATTTGCCTAATAAGCCAAGTTTTCCTGAATTAATATATTTTCTCTAATTTTTTTCTTATGATAAAGCTACCCATTCCATTATGTATGAGGTCAATTTTTTTTATTGGAGTTAAAATTAACGAAGATATAGGACCGAACCTAACCAACCCTACCTAACCTATCTTTATAGGTTAGGTAGCCGAAAAAGTTAGGTTAGGTTAGGTAGGTTAGGTAGTCGAAAAACAATTAATTCATGAAAACTTGGCTTATTAGGCAAATCGGGCCTTGCATAGTAGGCTGAGAAGTGCGTTCTGGCTACTAGGTACGATATATATATATATATATATATATATATATATATATATATATATATATATATATATATATATATATATATATATATATATATTTATTGTGACGATAATCTCTTTCAAGAGAGATTGAGCCTGCTCTTCCCTCCAAAGTACGTCACATCAACAAATAATGTAGAAGATATATCCAACAAGTATCTCCAAAACGTTTTGCCCAGAGAGCAAAACGTATCCAGCACACCTGCTCGCCCCGCCACCGTTAACCGGCAAACTGCTTGTCCATCGCCTGCCTGTCGCTGATTGGCTGGTGTCCAGTCGCACCTGCCCCACCACCCTCCGCCACGAGTTGATGTCTGGACTACAGCGACCCAGAGAAGGCAGAATATCCTAGTGCTCCTTGCAGTTGACACGTCTCATTGGTAGACTAAGCCTTCGCTTACGTGTACTAAGGGAGGTGGCAGCTCGAAGCCAATATTCCGGCACTAATATATATTTTGCTATTACTCACTTGTCTTAACGTAACTTTTCATTTGCCAGTGATTATTCTTATTATTTTGTTTGTTGACTTGTCTGTTACATTTTATGCCCAATTTTATTCATGTCTTGTTTTTCTAACGTACGTAAAATTTCATTGTTAAATTTACTTGTGTTTTGTGTGTCTTCCCATTACCTTACCACAGACGAAAGTTCCAGCTTTTCTCTTTTTTTTTTCTTTATTTGACGAGGCCCTGCCCCTAGCTTTTGAAACAGCCGAACACCAACGCTTTACCGTCACAATATACATATATGTATGAGAATGTGTACATTTATACATAACATTAATAATTTTGTAACTAGCGTAAAAATTTTTATTTGCTTAGCTAAACGAACTAGAGGGTTCAGTTCCTGAACCGATTATGTGCCTCTGTAATCATTTATACCACCACCAACGGGATGGGTATTGGGTGCATAATGAAGAAAGAAATTGAAAAGTGCCCGAAACCCATGTGTGTCTATATATGTATGAACACCCATTATGTTATGTAAGCGTTATGCCCGAAACGCTTTGCGTAATAGTGGCTTTAGATATTGTATGTACTAGCCCTATCTATAAATCCATCACTCTTTGTAAAATCTCTTGTATGTATGTACCTTACCTAAATAAACATTTGATTTGATTTGATTTGAACACGTACTGAACGGGGTGAGAATAGCTTGAGATACCTCATCCCTTTGTGTGTATTTTACCTCAATAAACTTATTTCAATTTCAATTTCAATTGCCCGAAACGCTATGTGTATTAGTGGCTTTAGGTATTGCATGTACTAGCTCTATCTATAAATCCAAAAGTATGTTTGTAACTGCATCTATGTATGTACTTGTCTTAAATAAAATATTATTATTATTATTATTATTATTATTATTACTATAATAATAATACTCATGCTTTATTCTGGCCTTTGTGTCAGTAAGTGCTCCTCTGTCTTTCCTAATTTCCTGAAATATTGCGGCTTTTGCAGCAAAATCATATAATGCTACTCAGTGTATTAAAATATATTGCTCTGAAAACCATATCACCCGCTAAAGAAAGTATTGGCCTACTTTAATTATAAATTCGCTACGTTTAGCAAGTGGGATTTGGCAACACTGCAGAGATAGGTGAGCACATGCACCTTGTTGTTGTTGGTGTTGATTCACAGCTGATCCGGCCGCCGCCAGCCTCGCCCTCGCCTCGCCTCCCTTAGTATGGCCAGTGTCTACTCTTCACCGTATCTAAACACATTTTCACCTACTTCCAGAGTAAGTATGTGAATATTGATAATTAAGGTGAATTTGAGTCTATTATTAAATAAGACGGTGACAGCGAGAACGTGCTAGCCAGCCACATGGCTCTGGTATGTCTGGGTGTTGGCTAATATTTGTACACACAATTTTCGCCTCGGTGTATCGCTGTATCGTTAAATATTGTTATATCTTACTGTCAAACTGTGAAGTGCTTGTCTCTGAAGCCAGACATAGATATCTAGGCATACTTAATAAAGGCGTCAGAGATATCTGCATACTAAATAAAGGGGTCAGAGTGGAATTGGGCTACAAGATCATGATAAAGCTTGAAAAAATTTAGCTGGCGGCCAGAAATGTGGGCCTAAGCTATGGTAATCCCAACGTAGCACAGCAACACTGCAAGATGTCTTTCCTCAATTATTAGGCTTGTATTAACCCCTCAACTGCACGGCTTGCAAATATGGCAATCCCCCCCCAGTGCGCAGGAAATAAATTTTCTGGAAAAAAATTCTGTTTTTTTGAAAGTGTCGAAAACCCTTCCCTGAGTATGGATATGTTAACAAAGTCAAAATTGTACTTACTTTGGCTGCTATGGGGTCCGTAAGTTTGCGCGTGATGTCATCAATCCCTGGTCGTCCGTAGTCTATGCCCCGGGGGCCAGTAGGGCGCCCGGCTCAAGATGAGCCAGTTGCCACAAATATATTTTTGTTAATTTTTTGCGCACAGTTCCAAATACATTTTATCTGTTTTTTCGTGCCAATCCTATGTATAATGAACACGTACATTATATTATGGCAGTAGAATATCCGTACTGTCTGAAGACACTGTGTTATGTGCATGACACATGTGTACACATATGTTGCACATATTTCCCATGCATCATGCTAATTTATGTATACATACAATCTATTTACACTATACACTATCACACACTATATACATTCACCATCAACACACTCAGAACTCCACACGTCAGCTGCCACACCAACCACTCTCCCTCACTCCTCCAACATCTTACTTGCCAACATTGCTCCTCCCACCATACTGTTATTGTTTTTATTACACTATTTACATGTGTTATGTATACCTATACATGTTTTATTCACCAGAACTATGCAAGTAAGCCGTGTCCAAACTTTACAATGGCCACCATACACTGCATGAGAAATCACACAGCAGACAACGCTACGATTACGTCACTTCCCTCACCAAAATAGCTCCTCCCAACATACTCCTGTTGCTGTTATTACACTATATACACACAGTGTATATACCCATGTACAAATGTGTTCACCATAGCGAACCACTAAGCTAGTATGGTGAGCAAAACAAGAGTGGCTGCCACACACACAGTGAGGCTACCTCGATTCTCTCCCACGCTCCTTCACCACAATTCCTCCTCTCACAATACTACACAGTGGTAATTATCATGACAATCCTGCTGTTATCACAATACTGGTCACTAAATCCTGTAAATTAATAATTGACCACAAGTTAATATTGAAAAGGAACCTAGGAAGTCGTTTGAAGATTCCTAGATGGACGAAATAATGCTGTGGTGATGTGGCTAGCGCTGTGAACATCGTGAACTGTATTGAATCACTGATATTTGAACATTGTACACAGTCATCACACTCAGGCTTTCTGTAATACTATCATGGCTAAATAATACAAGTCATATATATATATATTTTGACATTATTAGGCGATGCTGTGGTCACAAGCTAAACAGTAGTGCTGTGTAATTACCTAAGTGTAATTACCTAAGTGTAGTTACAGGATGAGAGCTACGCTCGTGGTGTCCCGTCTCCCCAGCACTCTTTGTCATACTGTATAATGCTTTGAAATTACTGACGGTTTTGGCCTCCACCACCTTCTCACTTAACTTGTTCCAACCGTCTACCACTCTGTTTACAAAAGTGAATTTTCGTATATTTCTCCGGCAGCTTTGTTTCGTTAGTTTAAATCTATGACCTCTTGTTCTTGAAGTTCCGAGTCTCAGGAATTCTTCCCTATCAATTTTATCTATTCCTGTTACTATTTTGAACGTAGTGATCATATCGCCTCTTTTTCTTCTATCTTCTAGGTTTTTGCATATTTAATGCCTCTAACCTCTCCTCGTAGCTCTTGTCCTTCAATTCTGGGAGCCACTTAGTGGCATGTCGTTGCACCTTTTCCAGTTTGTTGATGTGCTTCTTAAGATATGGGCACCATACAACCGCTGCATATTCCAGCTTTGGTCTAATAAAAGTCGTGAACAATTTCTTTAGTATTTCTCCATCCATGTATTTAAAAGCAATTCTAAGGTTAGAAAGTGTAGCATAGGCTCCTCGCACAATGTTCTTAATGTGGTCCTCAGGTGACATTTTTCTATCTAAAACCACCCCTAGATCCTTTTCTTTATCAGAATTCTTTAAAGATTTCTCACATAATTTATAGGTTGTGTGGGGTCTATGTTCTCCAATTTCACATTCCATAAAATGGCATTTATTCACATTAAATTCCATTTGCCAAGTGTTGCTCCATATACTTATTTTGTCCAGGTCTTCTTGAAGGGCATGACAATCATCTAAGTTTCTTATCTTCCCTATTATCTTAGCATCATCAGCAAACATGTTCATGTAATTGTGTATTCCCACTGGTAGATCGTTTATGTAGACAATGAACATTACCGGTGCAAGAACTGAACCCTGAGGTACTCCACTCGTGACATTCCTCCAATCGGATACCTTGCCTCTGATTATGGCCCTCATTTTTCTGTCAGTTAGGAAATTTTTCATCCATGTTAATAGCTTACCTGTCACTCCTCCAATATGTTCCAGTTTCCAGAACAACCTCTTATGGGGAACTCTGTCGAAAGCCTTTTTTAGGTCCAGATAGATGCAGTCAACCCAACCATCTCTTTCCTGTAAAATCTCTGAGGCTCGATCAAAAAAACTGAGCAAGTTCGTTACACAGGATCTTCCAGATCAAAAACCATACTGTCTGTCTGATATTATAGCGTTTTCCTCCAAGTGTTCTACCCATTTAGTTTTAATTATTTTTTCCAATATTTTGACTATTACACTTGTCAATGATACAGGTCTATAATTAAGGGGGTCTTCCCTGTTTCCACTTTTGTAGATTGGAACTATGTTAGCCTTTTTCCACACATCAGCTACAGCTCCTGTACACAGGGATGCCTGAAAAATCAGTTGAAGTGGAATGCTGAGCTCAGGTGCACATTCTCTCAGAACCCATGGTGAAACTCCATCTGGACCAACTGCTTTGTTCTTACTTAGCTCCTTGAGCATTTTTTCCACTTCGTCTCTAGACACCTCTATGTGCTCTATGTTGTTCTCTGGAATTCTTATTGTATCTGGTTCCCTAAAGATTTCATTTTGTACAAACACACTTTGGAACTTTTCGTTTAGTGTTTCACACATTTCCTTTTCATCTTTCGTGAATCTATTTCCCATTTTCAACCTCTGAATATTATCCTTTACCTGCAATTTGTTGTTTATGAATTTATAGAATAGACCTGGTTCTGTTTTACATTTGTCTGCAATCCCTTTTTCAAAATTTCTTTCTGCCTCTCTCCTCACTGCCATGTAGTTGTTTCTCGCATCTTTGTATCGCTGGTATGTTTGGGGGTTCGACCTCTTCCTGTATTGATTCCATTTTTGTGTCTTTTGGTCTCTAGCCCTCTCGTAATTTCTATTGAACCAATCCTGTTTCCTAGTTCTGCATCTCTGTTTTGGTATAAATTTTTTTGTGCCTTTATCATATATTTCACAAAACTTGACATACATCTCATTCACTTCTTTGCCTAGCATCAAGTCTGTCCAATTATACTCACTAAAAAAATTTCTAAGGTCACCATAATGTCCTCTCCTGAAGTCTGGTTTTTCAACTGCTTCAACCTCCTTATTTTCTTCCAGCTTATAACGCATTGCATACTTTATTCCCAAAAAGACATGGTCACTTTTACCCAAGGGAGGAAGGTACTGAATGTCAAATATCTCTTCCTCCTTCCTGGTAAATATCAAATCTAGCATGGAGGGAACGTCCCCTTCCCTCATCCTCGTAGCTTGTTTAACATGTTGATACAATGTAACAAGAGAGCAATACATAGGACAACATGAACATCATAACAGCATGAACAAGCCACGTGGAGGATGAACAAACCACTGGCGGCAGTCAGGCGGCGGCAGACAATGTAAAAGTTACACCTCTGTACAAGTTAGCCATAGAGTCAGGTCAACGGTCATCGAATCACGAAGAGGTCAGAGTTGATGCCGTCATGATAATCTTCAGGGATTAACCCCTAAACATCAAATGTAAAACCCTCATGTTCAGCTGGGGAGCAGATCATGCTACAGAGAGAGTAGAGTGGGCGCAGCCCAGTAGGGAGGTGTGTGTGTGGACTCGGGGAAGGAACATCATCTCCAGGAAAACTGTGGAACAACATACGAGTAAGTACGGCTCTCTTGTACTAAAGCACCTCATTCAGTACTCATAGCCTCTAGTAGGGAATATAGTTAGGGAGTGTCTTATTTAATTATTTCAAATAAAGTCATATATTAAGTGTTATAAAATGTGTATTAATGGTTCCTTGTCTTAGTGATATTGGGCCTACCGTCCCCTTTGCCCCAGTGACCTAGTGTTCTTAATTATCCAGTACTCCTCCCCCCGTTCATCTTCCGTGTTGAGGTGTTAGTATTGGGTGTGTCCCGCCGTATTCTTGTGTACACTATAGTTCCCAAGCGGTCAGGATTATTCGAGTGTCAGGCCAGGATCCTTGTACCGTTCAATTGTCCCCTACACCTGTCCTGGTAGGTTATTCCATCTGCAAGACCTACGACTCTCACTCCGGTCCCCTGTCCGGTAACTCAGGGTGGTGGCAGCGTCACTCGGTAACTCATACGATAGGCTATGACTACGATTATCTCTATCTTTCTGTTTCACTCTCCCTCGCCCTCACTCGCTCTCGTTCTCCCTCCCTTGCTCTCGTTCTCGCTCTGCCTCACTCTTCCTCTCTCTCTCTCTCTCTCTCTCCTCGGTTTACGTCTTCGTATGACGGCCCGAGTGTTAACATCTTACATGATCGATAGCATCTGTTATTACCATAGAAAGAGCGGAGATTGCACGGTTAGCTCAGTGGTAGTAGCGGGGTGCGCGGTCGAGAGAGATAAGACAAGGCGGATTATTACAACAAGAATGTTTCCAGGATGAGGTCTACAAATTTACAGGTCCAAAAATCTTCTGTTTTAGCTTCATATGCTTCCCAGTCTATGGATTTCAAGTTGAAGTCACCGACTATCAACAGTCGTGATCTATCGTTATCCGCTCTCGCTATAATCTCTCTCATTATTGTTATAAGACCTTCACGTTTACTATCTAGCTCCTCCTTTGACCATGTGCTGCTGCGGTGGACTATATGCATTTATTATCATTAGTTTATCATCCTCATGGCAGATCTCTAGTGCTATTATGTCAACTTCTTGTGGATTGGCAGTCATTATTTTGTTCACCTTTAGGTGTTCTTTTACCAGCACAGCAACGCCACCGCCTTTCCTAATTTTTCTGTCCCGTCTCCAAATTGAGTAGCCCCTTGGGAATATGACCTCATTTAAAATTACATCAAGTTTTGTCTCCGTGAGTGCAACAATGTCTGGTGTCTGCAGCTGTATTACATCACTTAACTCCAGTATCTTTGATCTCACTCCATCTATGTTGGTGTATGCAATCTTCAGGAACTTGTTCCCCCTCTCCTTATTCTTCACTCCCCCTCTCTCTATTGATTTTGTTGGTTTGCCTTTATGTACCACTTTACTGGTTTGCCTACCCCTATCACTTTGTAGAAAAAAGAATTTATTTCTTCTTCATTCCTGCTCTCATTTAAATGTTTTGCCTCGGCGAGGTTCAGTTTCAGCTTCTCTCTATCTTCTTTTGAAAGATCTCGTCTTAACGACCACCCTTTCCCATCCTCATCACTTTGCAATTTTCTAGCATTCCTTAGTACTCCTTCCATCTGTTTGGCACCGTTTAGGGTGATCCTCAAAGGTCGATCTTTCCCTTTTACGTACCTGCCTATTCTCCTGTAGTCGCACACATTCTCTATGGTTGTAAGACCTTCTACGAGGCCAACAATTTTATCTACTACTTTAGCTTCTTCTACAGCTCTTTCTGACCTAGATGTTATCGCCTTTTCTTTGCAGCCAAAAATGATCAGGGACTTACTCCGATCAACTGTGTTTTGCACCAACTTCGGGTTAGATGCCAATTCTTTCCTCACTTCTAGCCTAATGTTTGTTTTATCTTGGTTGCTGCAGTGTTTGACTTCCTTTACTGCTTCTTCCATTTTTTCCTTCTCCTTGGCCACTTGTGCATAAGTGAGTTGCATATCTTTCTTGCACTGTTCTATTCCCTGTGTAACTTCCTCCATCTGTGCTGACAAAAGCTGTTTCTCCTGTTGAATTTCCTTGCCTAACCTATTGTAGTCATTTATGTTTAAATTTACTTTAACTTCTTCCAAAGCTATTTTTAAGAGTTTATTTTCTTCTTCCATGGCTTTGCAATTTGTTTCCAATTGATTCTTATCCTTGCGCAAGTCTTTCACTAAACCCTCAAGACATAAAACTTTGCTATTCAAATGGTCATTACTTTCTTTCAATTTACTAATTATTTCTCCATGAGAGTTCACTATAGTATCTAAATTTACCAACTTGTTATGTAGACTGCTAATATCAATGCTTTCTTCATTGAATCACTCAAAATCAAGCTCTGTTTTGTTTTTCCCTTGCCAGTGGCCATCTTGAATGTTCTTCTCTGCACTGTAAACACTAGGGCAACTTTTTCTCATCCGATTTTTCACTTCCCTTAGCACTTTCCTGTTATCTCACCTATTTTTCAAGAGCACTATACCTTTATGTTCTCTGGGACAGCACTCACTGCCATCAACCTGTACTACAATACTTAGGATTGTTGAAATATGCTGGAGCTCCTCTGCTGCAAGTGTTGACCCTAGGGATGTCACCTTTTTGACACCAGCCAGCCTTGTTTGCTCACTCAGTATTGAGGCTCTCACACCCGGGGAATGTGGCCCAAGGTTTTTTTTTTAAAGATGGCGTCTGTTTACAAGAACCCTGGGGAAGCTGATGTGAACTCCATATAGCCGCGGGAGTTTTGAATGAAACTCTAAAAATAAAAATACCCGGAGGCACGTTGCGCACTCCAGACGTGTGCCTGCAGGCACATTGCGCAGTTAAAGGGTTAAAATTCAACAGTCTGTTGATTGCTTGTGTTGTTATGGTATCAATATTTTTAGGAGTTTTACTAGCATAAACTTGTGCAGGCACTCACTCCCTAATGAATTGAAAAGTTGTCCAACTTTTGCCTTATTCAAAAACAAAACCAAAAAGTACCTAATTTCTTCATAATTTCCTACCATGTGCTTTAAACTTGCACTGTATTTAGAGCTACCCAATCCCACAATATATGTACCTAAGCCATACAACTTTACCATTGTAATCATTGCTATCATCTTGTATCAAGATTGTTATATTGAATGCATATTTTATTGGATTATACCTTGAAATAATCCTCAAATTATGCTACCATGTACCTGTTTATAACCCTCAAATTTTACTTTAATGTACCTACCAATCTCTGTCATATTTTCTAGCAATGTACCTGGTAACATTTTATAAATTTTGCTAGAAATTGCCTACTTAAAATTTTCTGTTAGATGAAGGACCTCTCCAAAATGCTGTGTGTACTAGTCGCTTTACAAGAATGTAAAAACATCCATGCTATGTACTCTCATAAACCCAATGTACCTTCTTGTATACTACTGTAACTACATTTGTTCTAAGAACCAATTGGCTCGTTTCTGTAAAATGAGAGAGAATATTGAAGATAATTAAAAATTATTTTTCCCATTGCAGATGTCAAATGAAAGACTAGGGTGTGCTGCTACAACCATGCCCTCCTCATCTCCAGATTTGCTCTTAAATACAATGAACACATTGGATATGTTTGACACCAGGTAATCCACATGTTTATTTTTCTGGGAGCTAGGATCAAATCTAGTTCTCCCATAGAGTCGAGGGATATTTTGGTATCGAGGATCAATCCAACGCCGAGAAAATCTACACTACACACAGAAATCACAATAGCATGATGCATCAAATGAACAAATCCACAAGGACTTTGATGAGGGTTCAAACCTATGTCCGAGAGGATCCCAGACGGACCTTAATCGACTGATGTGGCAGTCAATTAAGGCACGTCTGGGATCCTCTCGGATGTAGGTTCAAACCCTCATCATGGCCCTTTTGGATTTGTTCATTTGATGCATCACACTATTGTAATTTCTGTGTAATGAAGTAAGGGCGAAGAGGTAGAATAGCTTATTGACAGAGCCCGGGTGCATGCAGGAATTGTGTAAAACCCTGGTTTGTGTCTCGGAGAGACTGCAGGATCTACAGGATTCATGTGAGGTCAGTAGAACTCCTGGTTGCAATTCTTTTAACCATGTCCTGGCACAGTCGATCAAGGCACGTCTGGGATCCTCTCGGACGTAGGTTCAAACCCTCATCACGGCCCTTGTGGGTTTGTTCCACAAGGAAAAGAAAATCTTCTTGGAAATATGTGCTTCAAAACAAGCAACTGCTAGGTAATTAATAACACTGAGGAAAACTGAGGAAAACTTAGGAAAACTTGCCAAACATTTATAGCCTTAGGGATTATTCTCACAGTAATTTGCTTGCCTACCACTAGAAGGCGGTACAAGCGACTCAAGGTATGTATCTGCCAGCTACCTCTTCATTTGCTTGGTGTTACAGAGTGAGTATAGTAGCCCCCACATGGGCTACTATACAGCCCATGTGGGACTATTGCTTTGCTGTCCAGTTATAGCTTCGTGTGCATATTTGGTGCCACCCACCTTCAGTATGTCTTATGCTTACATTTTGCTCCTGCTGTGGGCCCTGGTGATTGGTTTCCATCTCCCTTTCCTCTTCAGAGTTACCTTCCTGTTGGGGTTCAGGATTCCTTCTCCACAAACTGACTCCTCTTGAGCTGTCTCACTTTTAGGTGCTGCATGGGTCTGCTCCGCACTGCCTGGTCTGTTGATGGGGGCGTATATGTCACTGTGTGCTTGTGTGGGCATCATACCTGCCTCTAACCCTTGTGTGGTTAGAGGCCTTGCACTTTAGCCAATGGTGCAGTCAAGCCTTGCATTTTTGCTAATGGTGCTCTTGGGTAGCGTAAGTGACTGCTCTTGTTGGTGACTGCATATGCAGTTAGCAAGTTCAGTCAAGGTGCTTCCTTGCACCCATCCTCCATGTCTGAGGAGTCAGTCAACCAGTATCTCTAATTCCAAGGTAAAGGGGGTGGTCAGGACAGCGTGTTGAACTGTTTTGGCTGCCTTAACCATTACTGTGAATGACTGCTGTGTGTAACTTTCCAGAGTATCTGGCATGGTTTTTGGACTCGGATGGACATTGTTGTTGTCTCCATAACTCTGCCTGTTAGGTCCAAGAGTCCTTTCACCCTCTGGTGTGTGCTGTGTATTAGTGTTGATTTTGATCCTGCCCAAACTGGCCTTTCGCATGGTTTCTAACCAGTCTGTGGTTGGGCTGCTGGGTTATGCTTAAAGATTCTGGCCTGCTGTAGCCTCCTTTCTTTTGGCTGTAAAAGACCAGTTCATCCACTGTCTAGCTTCCCAGCCTCCTCCACTGATATAGGCTAGTAAGGGGCTTGAGCCTGAGGCTCTACAGGTGACTGGATAGAGGGTTGTTGGGGGCTTCCTTGCCCTGGGCTTTGACAGAGGCAGTAGGGCCTTCTATCCCCTCCAAGGGTGGTCACTGACTGTTTCCCAGGCTGTGGGCCTGGATATGGTCAGTTTATTTCTGGGATTCCGACCATTGCAAAGACTGTGGGGTGTGGTCTCATGTCTCCACCTGGGGGGGGGGGATTTTTCCTTTTTGTTGATTTTTGGTGGAGCTGCCTTTCTTTGCCATCAGTCTGCAGTGGTATTTCAGGTTTTCAAGCCTCTTGTGTTCAATCAGGGTTTTGACATCATGCTCTTTTGAGATTGTTACTTGACCTTGTCCCTCTGGTATTGTGCTTGGGCATTTCACTCTGATTCACTTCACTTTCATTTTTCTGTTCTGCTTTCTGCTCCCAGGGCTCTGCCTTGACCATTTTTTTGTTTGCTTCATTTTCTTCGCAGTCTGAATCATTGGCCTCGTCTGCCAAGATATCATTGAGAGTTAACTGTAGGAGCTACTGAGGGAGTCCCTTCCAGATATCTACCATTGAATGTAATGGAATGTTTTTTTTCTGGTGGGGTCACTCAGAAGCTCCTCATACCTGTTCTGTTCTCTTCATGTCCTGTTGGAGTTTGGGGAATTTTCTGAATGAGGTAGCTGGTGGGGTACCCTGGGTCACCTTGGTTGCAATCTGGTAGTGAGTTTGGCATATCATGGTGAGGAAATTCCCAGCTTTTATGATTGGCATTTTGCTCAGGTTTGTTAATTGCCTGCTAGTTCTGAAGCACTTATTTCTGGTGTTTTTTTCCTCAGTTTTGGGTTGATCTCTGATCCCAATGCTCCCTTGGATTTAATAAGAGAGCCAGATTCTGGTTTCAACTCTCAGTAGGGTTTGAGTAGGTCTCAGCCCTGGTGTGATTCCCACCCAAAATCCTTGGTTGTGAGCAGAGGAGATAGACCACTGTGCCACAGGACCCCCCTACAGCTAACATGCAATTGCATCAGATTGTCTGACAGACTGTCACTTGAACCAATCTCAAAAGGGCTAATGACAGCCAAGACTGACCTATGAGAACATGCTGGCCATTGCTGTGCTTAATATATGAACAGATTTAGCCTTTATTAGGAAGATCGTTAAAAGCAGTCATTATTGGCCTTAATTAGAAAGTATGTTAGCAAGCTGTCTACAATATAACATAACTTAGCACCTATAGAACTGAAAAGTCATTCAAGAACTTGAAAAGGAGGCCAATCCATATCTACCTGACATAATGGGTCCTGTAGCACAGTGGTCTACGTTGTCTGCTCACAACAGTCTTGGACTTTATTCCCACAGAAAGAACAGAGAGTTGGGCATATATTTTTCACCTGAGCCTCTGTTCACCTAGTAAATAGGTACCCAGAGTTAGGCAATTGTTGTGGGTTACATTCTGGGGAAGGTTAGTAGAGCACCAAGGGAGACCTTGATAAGCCTATGTACTGTAAGAGCTCAGTAATCCTAATTCCGATTACCCAAGTCTTCAGGTAATGTGAATGAATTTACATTTATCATTTTCAAGTACAGTAAACAGCGGGAGTAGCTGGGTAAACAGCGGGAGTGGCCGGGTAGACCGCGGGAGTGGCCGGGTAGACCGCGGGAGCGGCCGGGTAGACCGCGGGAGCGGCCGGGTAGACCGCGGGAGCGGCCGGGTAGACCGCGGGAGCGGCCGGGTAGACCGCGGGAGCGGCCGGGTAGACCGCGGGAGCGGCCGGGTAGACCGCGGGAGCGGCCGGGTAGACCGCGGGAGCGGCCGGGTAGACCGCGGGAGCGGCCGGGTAGACCGCGGGAGCGGCCGGGTAGACCGCGGGAGCGGCCGGGTAGACCGCGGGAGCGGCCGGGTAGACCGCGGGAGCGGCCGGGTAGACCGCGGGAGCGGCCGGGTAGACCGCGGGAGCGGCCGGGTAGACCGCGGGAGCGGCCGGGTAGACCGCGGGAGCGGCCGGGTAGACCGCGGGAGCGGCCGGGTTGTGGTACAAAAAATTGATGAATGTTAATTTTTTGTACATTCCTAGTAAGAAATTTGGCTAAGGGAAATGTTTGGCTAACTTGAATGGTAGTGGGCCCTGTGTAAAATTACTGAGCATGGTTATACAGTTTTTCCTTTCCCTGACAACAATAAACCAAAATATCAAATATACCAACACTGCGGTGATATTATTATCCAACACATGCTAACTAAATACAGTATTAGTTTTTTTTATAAAAACACCAAGTTTTTAAATTGTAGTACAGTACTGTGTTCATATCCCTGCATATTAATAAAATCAGAATCTTGTCACTTAAAACATGTACAGTAATTCTAGTTGATGCTCTGGGATGTTTTGGGAAACACTTTAGCAATGTTTTCTAGAGTTTGATGGGTGCAGTGTGTTGTGCCTGAGCTTTCAGTTTTATTTTAGTTAAACGTAGGTTCTTATTGCATTTATAGTTAAAATAATTTAGTTTCTTTTCAGTTGGGAGTGTTGTTCAGGAGTGGACAATATATTGCAAGTCTCTACTGACAGTTCTCCATCTCTCGGTCCTCCAAGTAACATAATTGAAGAAAATTTCTTTGTTTGGGACACTGAGCATGTTCTACAAACAACTTTATTTGAAACAGATTTAGAGACATGCATTGAAGGTGCGTAATATTTTTCGTCAAGTGGATTACATAGGATTCCCAGGTAAAACAAAAACTAGTTGTTCATAATTAGATAATCTGTTTTGTGGTTATGTTCTCCTATGTTAGTATCTTCCTGGAGGGAGGCCCCTAGTGGTTCCCTTAAGCTATCTTGCCAATATTGCTCTACACTAAAAGGTCACATCAGTCGCAGGAGTTCAGTTTGGTCCCAATGACCATAGCCAAAACCTTATCTCTTCACAGAGGTACAGGGAGCAGGTGACAATGCACCACAGTACTGTACCGGAAAATGCCTCCAGAAAGTCATTGAAGCTTTACAAGCAACTGGAGGGTTCATAGAAAACAAAGCCTCGAAACCACCAAGCCACTCTGCAAATGATTCACAGAGAACAAGGGATTTACTGAAACTAGCTTGCAAATTCGTTAGTACTGATTACCATTACCAGGTGGCTTGGCCCCAGCCGGCTCCCAATCTCAGTTCTGTTGCTGATGACGCATTGTTTGGAGCTGTCTGTGTTTCAGTCCATCAGATAGTGGGACAGATAGTTCGTCCCCATTGCTTCAAGCTAGATGAGGTTCATACTTGGACTCTGTTGTCTTGCAGGGGCCATTTGCTTTTATTATTTATGTATTTTTGATGTGATCTATGGCTTCATGTGTGTGCTTTTGTTCTGCTTGTTGTGTGGGCTTGGCTGTTGTTGCAATTTGGGAAAAATGGGCTCAGGGTTTTCTTCCCTGAGTACCTGCAAACACTGCTCTTGCCCAGAGTTACCTTCTCTGGTGTATTCAGGAGTTCACCCCAGAGAGGCCTAGCCACTGGGGTGGAGAGTTTCACCTTGAGCTAATCACAGGTTTATATTATTTTGATGCATAATTTTGGTTTAATAAATAGTTATAGAATTTATGGTGTTTAGTAGAATTTTCCCCCACGTTTATTTCACATTACTGTTGAACGCAAGCCTCGTGTCTACACCTAAGTTTCCTCATGCAAGTCAACACACATTTACTTAATTAAAAAGATAATCCCTTTTCATTCAATGTCCACATTAACGTAAGCTTATCCCTCCTTTCCATATAATAGTTTATATGAGATTCCTTTCCATATAATAGTTTATATGAGATTCCTTTCCATATAATAGTTTATATGAGATTCCTTTCCATATAATAGTTTTATATGAGGATAGAGTTTCATGGTACGCTTAATTGATGGTATCCTGCTTTCCGTCAATTGAAGGATTTACTCAGAACATTGCAGGTGGCGGTGGCGAATAGCATAGAGGATACAGTGTCCTTGAGTTGGTGATATCTAAATGGTCAAACGTTTAGATCTCTAGGAATTCTGCGGAAGGTTACACAGCAGAACTGTGGTTTCTGTATATATTTCTTTAATAACGACCAGCATTTAACCAGTAGTGAGGTTAAAGGCTGGCCCCCATTACAACGTGCTACCCGCTCGTACTCCATTTTACCCATTGTTGTCTGGAAGTTTTTAAGGGGTCAGGTGGTGTTCGCATTACATAGTAGGTATAGTACTGCTATATATATAGTACTGGGTTGTTAAATGGTGTGTTTCGACCTCCGGAATGCATATTGGCATGTCCCAATTCATCCGGGGGTCAGGGACTGGTTAGGTTTAGTGGTGGGGCAGCATGCTTACCACTTTCATTTTCTTCCATTTGGCCTGAATCTGGCACCTCGCATTTTCACGCATCTTACCCGGGTCGTGGTGGCCCGTCTGCGTCTGCTAGGTGTTTGGATGTTGGCCTACCTCGATGACTGGTTGGTATGGGATCCCAGCCAGTCTGCTTGTCTTTTCACCAGGGGTTTGGTCATTTCCCAGCTCGCTGGGTTCAGGTTCCTGGTGAACTGGAGGAAGTCCAATTTGGTTCCGTCCTAGGTTCGGACTTGGCTGGGCCTCATTTGGGGCTCTCGGTAAGCTTCTCTGTCTCCTTGCTGCGGCCTTGCTGTGGCTGCAGTTCTGCATTCAGCTGTATCTGAATGACTCCCGGGACATGAGGCGGTTGCTTAAGCAGTTGTGCGGAAGTCTGAACTTCGCGTGCTGGGTTACCCACTAGGTTGGGTCTGGTTTTGGTGCCTGTTCTGGTTCCTTCGGGGCCATACCTTCCATCTCAACTGCTGGATACGTCTCCCGTGGGCCTAACGTCGGTTACTGAGTCGCCAGGTTCCTCTTCTGGTTTTCAGGGTTCGGTGCCATGGCACCTTCCGGAATCCTCGCTCGATGTGTTCACGGACGCCTCATCTCTTGGCTGGGGCTTTGTGACCAGTGTTCACCAGGCCAGCCTGGAGCGGTGGGCTTAGTCTTTCCGTCGGGCTCACAGCACTGTGTGGGAGTTTTGCGGGTTCAGGGTGTTCGAGGCTCACACAATCCGGCTCCATTTGGACTGCGCCTCTGTGATTCATTGTCTGAACCACGGGGAGGTCTCTTCGGTCCGTGGCTCTTTGGGGCTGCTTACTTCAAGTGACTTGTCTGCTGGTTTCTTGGGGTTTAGCTCTCCGAGCTGTTCACGTCCGAGAAGTGTCCAAACGTCATGGCAGCCAGCCACTCACCCCCCCCCCCACCTCCCCGGAAATGAACCTCTTCATGTCGGCATTGTCCCGGCATCTCCTGGGATATGTGGCTCCATTCCCCGACTACAGAGCAGTTGCGGTGGATGCTTTTTGGCAGGACTGGTCGAGGTGGGGTTACCTGTACCTCTTTCCGTTGGTCCAGCTGTTCTAGCTCGGTTGGAGTCTTATCATGGGAGAGTTCTCCTTGTTGGTCCATGGTGACCAGCCCAGCCTTCGTTTCAATTGCTGCTTGCTCGGTGTCTGAACCCGGGGCGTTTTCCACTGCTCCTCCTCTTCCAGCAAATCGGGCTGGTCCGGTACCTGGCTTGTTCAATCCCCTCCTTCGCTCTTCATGTTTGGTCTTTTAGATGCATGTGTATCACCACTTGTATGGTGATCAGGTGGCTTTGTTTATGGTGTACCACCTGCGGTCTTTGTCTCGCCAACAGTAGGAGGTCTCTTGGCGTTCTTTCCGCCATTCCCCCTTCTCTTCCTAGGTTGTCTTCTGTTTCCATTTGGGTTGTTTTGTCCTTTCTTTCTTGGCTCTTTCAGGACCGTCATCTTATGCTGAATAGTGTCACTTCTTATCACGCGACATTGGCGGAGCCTCTCCAGCTTGCGTTTGGGGTGGTGTTGCTTCTGCCCCATTCCGTAAGCTTTCTCATGCTTTGTTTCACCTCCGGCCTGCTCATATACCACCTGAGCCATCTTGGTCCTTGGACCGGGCGCTCTTCTTTCTCTCTCCCTCATTTTGTGGTGGGCCCCCCCCCCTTCAATCCAAGACTGCTTTCAGAAGACTTTATTTCTGTTGACTTTTGACTCTGGGGGTTGAGTCAGTGAGCTTCATGTGCTCCTCTGGCCCAGGAGTTTCTGCTCATTTGGTCTTGGTGGACGGTTTGTTTGGTTGCTGCTTTCTCCTTCTTTTCTGGCGAAGAATGAGACAGCGGGCTTCCGGTGGGGTCCGTGGGTTATTGAAGCTTGGTTGATTCGGCCGGGGATGCATCGTGTGTTGTGTCCGGTTGCAGCTCTTCGACGTTACCTACACGCTTTGGCTTCTGTGACTGGGGAGGCGTTTTGGGTTGATCCAATTTTCCTTGTTTACTGTTCCAGGGCTCGAGTCTCTCAGGTTGTCCACAGGGTCATTAAGTCTAGCCAGCCTGCAGTCTACCCTCGTGCCCATGATGTGCGTAAGTTTGCTGCTCTGGCTGCTGTGTTTGTGAACATGTCCTGGGCTGACATTCGGGCTTGGGGGGTTTTGGAGGTCAAACAGGGTCCTGGCCGCCTGTTATTTGGTAAATGTTTTGGGTTCAAGTCTTTCTTGTGTGGCCTTGGGCTGCTGGTTGCAGTCAGTTCTCTCATCTTTGAGTTGCATGCAGTGCTGCTGCCTTCCGGGCAAGTCCTTTTTTTACTTATCTTTGAGTATGCAGCTCTAGGGAGCTGCAACCCGTTCTCGCAAATTCGTAAAGTCAATATTGACTTATTAACTACGTGCATAGGTGATATACTAAACATAATAGATACCCTTTAAAAGATTCATAGAAAACACCGACCTTACCTAACCTTGTTAGTATCTTAAGATAAGCATCTTATTGCTTGGTAATTACAATTATTACTTAACCTATACCTATTATAGGTTAGGTAATAATTGTAATTACGAAGCAATAAGATGCTTATCTTAACATACTAAGTAGGTTAGGTAAGGTCGGTGTTTTCTATGAATCTTTTTAAGGGTATCTATTATGTTAAGTATGTCACCTATACACATATTTAATAAGTCAATATTGACTTATTAAATTTGCGAGAACGGGTTGGGAGCTGACAGGGCTCCCTACAGAAAACCAGTGTTGAATATAATGAAACGCCATTTTCTGGATAAGCCCTAGAGGCTCCCTGTCACCCTCCCTCCCTCCAGTCGATGGTTTCGTTTTAATTAGTTCAGTCTCTGAACTGAGGAGTGGGCTTCCAGTGTGGGGATCCGGGGCTCCCCCCCCTCCCTGGGAATGCGAACAAATGGTTGCCAGGCTGATGACATTTGCTTGTTTCCTTGTTTCTTTTGGGGGGAGTTCTGGGTCTTTGTTCGGTCTTAGGTTGTAATTTGCTACCAGGTGGGGTTTGTTTTGGGACGCCTAATTTTTCTGGGTGCCTAACCCGGGTCATTGTAAGAATACTCCCAAAAACAGTTTTTCTTTGGCCATTGCTCCCTGTGCCGCTCTGAGGGGGCCAAGTTCTGGCTCGCCGTCCCCGGGAGGCAGAGCTCCAATCAACTGAAGCCCCAGACTAATATAGCTAATATCAATCCAATAGCTCCAGAGGCTCACCCAGACAATGGGGTTTCATTGCATTCACCGCTGTTTTTTTTCCATGATTTTCCATGATGGATCCAGCCTCTTTTGAGTACAGGTCTGTTTCGGCTTATTGGTTGCAGTACGAGGTCTTCGGTCTCCAAGATTTGGCTTGGTCTCTCTGTTTTGGCCACTTCCCCCTGTTCAACTCTCCTCTTTCCTGGGGATGCTCTTGCATAGGTTGTTTTCACTGGTGCTTTTTCTTGCTATCCTATTGATCAATTGTTTTCTCAGGTTTTTTGCCCCTTTTCAACAGTGGTCTGGTTGAGTGGGAATCTCGCCTGCTGTTGGGTCAGAGTAGGTCATTGGGTGGGTTAGATTCCTGGACTGTTACCCTTCCAATGAAGGGTTTCTCCTTTGCTCGATGTTGCAACTACATGTCGCAGAAGACTGGCTCTGCTCAGGGTTCGTGTTGTCCTTTTTGCAGTTCGTCCTTTTGATGCTGATATTTGGGGGGAATCTGACTCATTTTTCCAACTCCCGGTCCCACAAATTGTGGGCTTTTCAGGTTGTTTCCGGCAGCTTTTGGTGGAGTTGGTCGATTCGTCCCCCTTATTTGGAGTCAGACCATAGATTCCAGGTTCATGGACTGGCTAGGTTTTGTTGTGGAATATCAGATCAGCTTTAGATAAAGTAGATCAGCTTTTGGCTACTTGGGGTTTGGTTCTTTGAGCATTTCACATACAGGTTGTGTCCAATATTCTCGCAGAGGGGTTATTTGGCTTCCATCCTATCTCCACGGAATGGACTGTCGACAATGCATCTTTCCGTTGGCTCTGCAAGTGTTCAGTCACTCAGAGGTGGACCTTTACGCATTGGCATGAAATCGGTGCCTTTCCTCTTACGTGGCTCTGTTCCCTGGACGCTTTTCAACTGGATTAGTTGAGGTGGGGGCACTTTTTACATTTTTCTCCCAGTTCATTTGTTGCTCCAGGTGCCGTCTAGTCTGGAGTTGTACACGGGAAGAGTGATCCTAGGTGGCTGACCCAGCCTTTGTATCCTGTGCTAGTAGCATGATGTCCGAACCTGGGCATTTTCCTGCAGCTGTGCCTCTTCCAGCAGATCGGTCTGTTGTTGTACTTTGATGGTTTGAACTTCTCTAATTTTTGCATCTAGATTTTTATGCGTGTTTATTGCTATTTGTATGGCAAGTGCGCAGATAGTGTTGGTGTCCCATCTGTGTCTCTCCTCACAGCTGCAGTATGAAGTTGCCCGATGCTTGTTTCACCACTTCTTGTCTTCTCATTGCCTTCCTTTGGTTTCGGTCAGGTCTGTCCTGTCTATTTTCTCTTGGTTGTTTCTTGATTGGTATTTTTTCCTAACACTGTCACCTTTTATCATTTGGCATTGGCGGTGCTGCTGTTGCTTGTGTTCCAAGTCAATACTTGCATAGTGCCATTTCGCAAGCTGTCTTATGCGTCTTCTGGAGGGAGCCTCTTGTAGCTCCCTGAAGTTGCTACACTGATACAGTGCTATACTACGAGGTGCCATCAGTCATGGAGTTCTAATTGACCTACCAGGGACCACGAGCCGGCCTCCTTAGAAAGGCGCAGGGAACAGTGGCACTGTAAAACCTTTTATAAAGTTATTCAATGTCTATCACCACCAAGGGAAGGCACCCAGAAAGTCAGCAACACAAAACAGACTACTGTTTGGCTTAGAAATGAGACCACAGCCTCAAACTTTTGTTTACAATGTAAACAAATGATCAAAAATTTGTGAAACTAATGCGACTAGTTAGCCCCACCTTCTTCCCTGCTTGTGGGGAGGAGAAAAGGCAGGCCGGGTCATCTGGGAGTTTCATGTACTTGGAGCTGCATGTGCTCAGGGTTCCTTTCCTTGGGTGCTGATTAAGTGCTTCTCTTGCACTATTAGGGCTATCTTCCCTGGTGTGTTCAGGATACAAATTCCTTAGGGGTTTCCTTGCTTGAGGTGGCTCTCACCCTTAAGGTAAGCCAGTTGTCTTGGACTGTCAGTCTTTCCTTAGGTTAGGAGCATTTATTACTAGTAGGGTACACTATGTTTAGTGCAACTTACCTGGCGCACTGGGTAGGTCGAATAAACAAAGTACTGTACATTGATGGAACAATTTGTTGGAAGAAGCTGCGGCTTTCAGCTTGCATATCTCGTTGGTGTTGCGATTGTTCCTGGTTGCTCATTCTCTGCGGTTAAGTGGTAAGGGGTTCCAGACTTTGTCCCTTTTTAAGTTTTTCTTCATTTTACCCTTTTCTGCTGGGTGTTTTCCGCTTTGCCTTAAGTTTATCCTTGAGTTTGGTACAGTTAATTCTTCCTTGTTGCTCTCTAGACCTTTCCATTGACTTTGGGTAGCCAGGTTGCCTGTCCACTTATACGGAAATTACCAGTGTAGCATTCCCATTGCATTGCCACACTTGGCTTCTGTAGTGCATTTGAGTCTCCTAGAACTTCATTCTGATTGACTCTTGGAGGACATTGGGGTGCTCAGTGGGGCTCCTCTTGAGTGGGTTTTGGTCTCTGCTGCTTCTGCATCAGCAGCCTTCTTTAACTACTGCACTGTGCAGAGTGCTTAAAGGTGCCAAATCATGGGGTGTGCAGAGTGCCATATGGCGCATTTAGGTATAGGGAGCGATTCAAAACAATCGTGGCTACACAGGGATTACAGCCTGTGCCTCAGGACTCCAGTAAACAGACGCCATCTTGAAAAAAAATAGTCAGTATTCGTACTGGCTGAGAGCCTCAGTACTGAGCCTGAGTAAGGGTGACACATGCAGGAGCAGCTCATACCACCACTGTGCAGTTAGGGGGGCCACCGCACCACTTAGTAATGAATAAAATAGGTAACTAATTTTTTTGCATTGATAGTGTCATAGATGAACCTGATTGTGATAAAGACTGTACAATGTTCAGATATCAGTGAACACAATGTTACTTATGATATTCACAGCATTGTTGCTCTGTTGCAACACATGAGGTGCCAGCAACAATGCCACACGCACCTCCTGACAGATTCGAGGGTAACAAAATTCTGGGTGTATACAAGTTTGGTTATATGCCAGGCACAGGATCACGGGACAAGGGTAAATGTGCCTGCGTTGTCTGCAAGAACACACAAACGTAGGGAACGCAAGCGAAGATGCACCTGCACCTGGTGCGTTGAGTGCAAAGTTCCCCTATGCCTCGTCGACTGCTTCTCTGATTATCACACACTCGCGGAGTTCTAAGGGTGTTGATAGGGAATGTGTATAGTGTGTGATAGTGTACAGTGTGTAAATATGTTATAAATGTACATATATGAACATGAAATATTGAAAATACAGTATGATCAATATTTGTGGACACATGTGTGATACATGTAACACAGTGCCTTGGAACAGTACGGATGTTCTACTGCCAGAATATTGTTCAATATACATAGGATTAGCAAGAAAACACAATATAAATACATTTCTAATTGTGTAGAAAAAATGAACAAAAAAAATTTGTGACAACTCGCTCGTGTTGATTCTGGCGTGCGACTGCATCCGGAGTTCTACCACACGGGCAACCACAGAGCCGTGACGTCGTGCCCCATTTTCTAGACACCACTGCGGCCAAAGTAAGTACACAAGTGAAAATTTTTCAGCTGATATATGATCAGAGAAGGGTATTTAACACTAAGAAGAAAAAGAATTTGTGAAAAATTTATTTTTGGCGCATAAAAAAAAAGTTTTGTTTTGTTTCTGTGCCAGGAGATATTTTTCTTCACCTGCAGCCTCTTTCTTCTGTCTTCCAGACCAGTCCATTAATCATTGACACTTGGATTGTCTGGCTGGTGATGCATCATATGCTCAGTCCTATTGTTGTAGTGCTTTTGTTTTCTGTAGTATCCATGCAGCATTGCTGGTTTTAATAAAAGGTTTGATGCCGCATTGTGGGAATTTGAAGAATTTGTATTTTTCAAATATGTAGTCTCAAATGCTAATGTTAATAATTAAGAGAATTTTGTTTGATTATTGTGTACTGTGTAACTAAAGCAGTAATTTCTTTGTTTTCCAGGTGAGACTGGTGTATTTTCTCTTGCTAATTCATTACACGCAGATGAAGAAATCAGTTTGGCCAATGATGTAGAGAGTAATATATCAAATGGATCGTCCTCATCCCTCACATCTTTCTCGGTTGCTAAATTACCTGACCATTTTTCAGCAAATCCTGAAGACCTTCAAACTTCAGATTCACCTCAGTCTTGTATGATGTTTTCAAGTCTTGATAATAGTTTGGTGGACTCATCTCTGAGTTGTGTACTACCTGATAATTTGTTTAGTGAAGAGTTACAGAACTCTGAAGCCCAGTCCACTTATTTAGCACAAGATAGTTTAAGAAAGTTGAAGTTTGAGACAGAAATTAAAGAGTGCACTGGAAAGAGGGCCAACCGCCTCAGAAAACACAAGAAATCACTTAGGTTTCCATTGACTACATCATCCCAACTATTGCCCAATTCTAATGCACTGCCTTGCACCATGCCTGACCCTCCAAATCATCGATGTGCTTCCACATATCAGAAGTACAAAGCATCTGCTAAGGAAAATGGCATTTCTCCAAGAAAAAAAAAAGTCTTTAATATTTTGGATAGCAGCATTAAGTGGTGAGTTACTTAATATAAATTTAGGCTATCATATCCTTGTTAAATTTGTGTAACATCCAAATCCTCTTCCAAGAATTTCACTACCCCACCCTTCTTCCTCCCCCATCCTCTCCAAACCCTTTGGAAAAACAAACAAACGAACAACTGTTAAAAATATGCATTAGATTTATAGAAGACTTTATTTATTGCAATACAGCGGTACCTCCACTTACGAATTAAATCTGTTCCCAGGGACTGGTCGTAACTCAAAAATTTGCAAGTCTAAAAAAAATTTTCCCATAAGAAATAATGTAAATTGAATTAATCCATTCCTCACCCCCAAAAATATTAACTTAAAAATACATTTTGTTATGAATACCAGTCTTTCTGGGGGGAGCCCCGTCGGCTCCCCGGAGCTTTACCAGGCTGATATGCTAATGTCAGACTTTGGCATCAGTCATGTGTATGGAGTTCTAGGGCCTACTGGGGACCACGGCCAGAACCTGGCCCCCTCAGAGAGGCAAGGGGAGCAATGGCCTATAGAAACCCCCGTGTGGTTGGAAGCATTCTATGTCTGCCATCGATCGGGTCAAGCATCCAGAAAGGTAAGCATTCCAAAACAAACCCCTATTCTGGTGAAAATTGCTACCTAAAGCCGAACTAGTGGATAGAACTCCTCAACAGAAAACAAGCAAACTAGTATGATGTCATACGTCACCGCGCCGCTGTCTGCGCAGCTTCCCCCTCTCCGGGAGGGGGAAGGGGGAGCCCCAGATCTCCCACGCCGGCTATCCACCCATCAGTTCTTCGGCTGATGCTATAGGCACCGGTTATGTGCTCCGGCTCCAGTGGTTGTTTCAGCACTGTACCTAGAGTGTGGTGTCTGTTTTCTAGGTGGTGCGTGAGCCGGGAGTGATTCTCCAGTACTCGGGCTGCATGCGCCTAGGGTTCCCTTCCCTAGGTGCCCTGTAAGTACTGCCCTTGGGGCTTGGGGCCACCTTCCACAAGTTCCTTGGGTCCTGCCCCTGCTAGGCCGTTTACTGCTTGGTTTTCGGCCGCTCTTTGTGTGCTCGGGTGTTCTGTCTCCCTTGTTCGCCTTAGAGTAAGGGGCAGTTTTTTGCACTGGTGGGGCGCAGGGTACTGTGCAGCTTGTCTTTACCAATCATGGCGGCCGGCTCTGTTCCGCTTGGGTACGCTGTCTTCTTGCGGGGTTTTCTTTTTCTTTTTGTTTATCTACCTGGTGGGGGGGTCTGCCTTCGTTCTTGCCCCTTGTGTCCTGAGTATTTTCTGGTGGTACCCCCTGCTAGGTCCCCGTGAGTGTACACGTCCCGGGGGTTCAGCGCTTAGAAAGTTGTTTGGTAGCTTTGGGTGCCGGTTAGCAGTACCCTGCCTGGGATTACCTGAGCGCGAGTCCTCTTATAGTAAACGCTCGGGACCCTGGGAAACCCCTGGGGGCGCGCGGGTTTGATGGATGTGACCCCAGAGTCCCCCCTCGCTTCCAGCAAGTTTGAGGTTGCTCTCACCCTTTGTCTCTGGGTGACTCTGTTTTGCCTCCGTCTGCTGCCTGTGGGGTCGGTGACACCTTCGACCCGGAGTCCTGCGAGTTTGGTTGCTCGTTGTGGCTCGGTTACCCAGTTGTGCTGACTAAGCGGGTGCGGGCAGCAGGGGCGTTGCACTTGAGTCTTGGTGGTGGCAACGTTCTCGTGGTTTACTCCCCGGGAGCCCCGGGGCTGCCCCGTTTTGGTTCGTTTTGGGACTAGGGGGTGTTGGTTGCTTCGGTTCCATCCACGCCCCCTTGTCTTTCCCCTGGATCACCCTTCCTGCCTGCATCCGGTTCCTTACCGTCTGTAGGTTCGAGGCGGGGTTTTGATGGTGTTGAGACTCGGGCAGTCTCGGGGAATTCCCCTTCCGGGGTAGTGACGGGGGCATTTGAGCCTGTTCCTCCAGCCGTGTTGTAAGGGTCTGCCAGTGGGCTCCCTTCCTTAGTGTTTTCACGGCTGCCCCGGTTTTCTGGTACGGCCGGGGCTTTGGGGGAACGGCTCGGCCCTGGGGCCTGTCATGTAGGTTCCCGGGGCTGGGGAGGGGCTGACTTGGGGGGGCCTTGGCCCTGTTGGACCCCGTGGGGGTTTTTATTCCCCTCTAGGCGGGGCTTGTGGTTACGCGGAGTGGGTCTTTCCTCCACACTCGCCGTACGTGCTGTTGGGCGTCGGCCCCTCCCCGGGCTCGGTTCCTTGGCCTTTGAGTCAGTTTGTTCCGTCCTGTGGGTGGATGTTTCCTCCCACCCTTTTTTGGGACGGTGTTTTCGTCACGTTTCCCCGTTCTTGGGGTTCTACGTGACTTCTGGTCTCAGGTGCGTCTGCGCCTTTGTGTGCCTTCGGGACTAGTGTTGGCTTCTGTGTTCTCGAGGGTTCAAGAAGGTTTTTCGCTACGTCCCGCATTATTGGAACGTCCGTCGGCTCCTCGTCCTTGTTGCCGTTTTGGGCTACTTGTGGCCCGGTTGGGCTACTTGTAGCCCTGTTGGGCTGCTTGTGGCCCGGTTGGGTTCCTTTTTGGGTTGTCTTTGCTTCGTTGGCCGGTTTTATTGTTCCTGCTTACTCTTTTGGCTACTTTTCTAGTGCAGTAGTCCTGGTTGGCTCCTTCCCGCAGAGAGGGTTGTGCGGTTCGGCCAGCGTGTCATGCGCATGCGCCGTAGAGTTTGTTTTGGTTTGGGCGGTGTTTCAGTGCTGGTGTTTTGCGCCCTTTTTGCTACAGGGCTTCGCCTTTCGCTCTTCTCCCTGGCTGTGGCTTGTGCCCCTTTGCTCCGGGGGTGTCCTGGTTCCCAGTTGTGGGGAGGACGCCGCGGTTTTCCCTTTCATAGGTGTGGGCCGCCTCCTTTGCCTCTACCTGCTCTCCTGCGGGTCCGGCCGGGTCCGGCTCTGGCGGTGCTCCCAGGTTCTTCTGGGCACGGTTGAGTCTTTTCACGTTCGTGCCACCGTTCGCCAGGCGAGTTTCTGCGGTCTGGCGTCTTTTGGCCGGGCGCTGGATGCGGTGTTGTTTATATACCTGTCTTTATTTAGGTATATTTTTGTACGACTGAGACCGTTCGCACACCAGTGACTGTCCCTTTTTCAACCCTTCCTGTCCCCCTCATGTGCATGTCCAACCCATGCTAGAGTCATTCTGGGGACCCACCTTTTTTCATGTTGTGTGGTGTGGGGGTTGTGGGGTTGGTTCAGTACTCGCTTCGGCAGTACATATGCTAAAATTGGAATGATACAGAGAAGATTAGCATGACCCCTGCGCAAGGATGACACGCAAAATCGTGAAGCGTTCCACATTTTTTATAATTACGGGTGGCTTCGTGGTAGGTGTTCCACCTGTGTGCTTCTCTTGGTGGCAGTATAGGGTATTTTGGCGGTCCTTCCTTTTCCTGTCCCTTCTTAGGTGGTTACTCTTGTTAGCTTGGTTTACTCTCGGCTTGGCTTTCTGGTGGGTGTTGGGGGCCGTCGTCTTGCCACATACTGTCGCCTCTTTTCGTGCGGCGCTGGCGGAGCCGCTTCGGCTTGCTTTCGGTCTTGGTGTTGCTTCTGAACCGTTAGTAAGCTGTCTCGTGCGTCGTTTCACCTCCGGCCTGTTCGTGCGCGGCTTGCACCAGCCTGGTCTCTGGTCAGTGTGCTCTGTCTTCTCCTCGGTTGGTGGTGCCCTTTCGGTTCCGGTGTGTTTTTTCGTCGGCTCTTTTTCTTTTTGGCATTTGCCTCTGGGGGTCGGGTCGCTGAGTTTTCTTACTCCTTCGGTTTTAGCATTTTGGTTGTTAGGTGGCAGCAGTCTCCATCTTTTCTGGCGCGGGGTGGGGCTGCTGCGTTCTGGAGGGGTCCAGGGTTTGTTGGTGCTTTGTTGGTCGGGCCGGGGGTGTGTCGTGTTTTGTGTTCAGTGGCGGCCCTCCTCTGTTGTTTGCGTGCCACGGCGTCTGGGTCCGGAGCGCGTTTTGCGTTGATCCGGTTCTGTTCTTCCCAGTTCGCGGGTGATGGTGTCCCGGGTTGTCAGCCGTGTTCTTGCGGCTAAGCTGCCTGTGTTCTTCCCCTCATGCCCGTGATGTTCGTGGCTTCGCTGCTCTCGCTGTCGTCTGGGCGACGTGTCCTTGTGGTCTTTCGGGCATGGAATTTTGGTGTTCGTTCGGGGGCCTTGCTGCTCGTTGTTCTCGTGTTGTTCCCGGGACTTTTCGGGGCTGTGGCGCCTTGGGCTGGCATTTGCTGTTGGCTGTCTTGCTTCCGTGGGGGGGTGCGTGGTGTCCGCCTCCCGGTTCCGTCCCTTTGACCTTCCTCTGTGGGTAGTTAGCTCCGGGGAGCCGACGGGGCTCCCCCAAGAAAACCAGCGTTGAATGTAATGAAACGCCATTTTCTGGGTGAGACCCGGAGGCTCCCCAGCAACCCTCCCTCCCTCCGGTCGGCGGTTTTTCGCGTGTTTTGACATCCAGCCTCGGAACTGATGGGTGGATAGCCGGCGTGGGAGGTCTGGGGCTCCCCCTTCCCCCTCCCGGGGAGGGGGGAGCTGCGCAGACAGCGGCGCGGTGACGTATGACGTCATACTAGTTTGCTTGTTTTCTGTTGAGAAGTTCTATCCACTAGTTCGGCTTTAGGTAGCAATTTTCACCAGAATAGGGGTTTGTTTTGGAATGCTTACCTTTCTGGATGCTTGACCCGGTCGATGGCAGACATAGAATGCTTCCAACCACACGGGGGTTTCTATAGGCCATTGCTCCCCTTGCCTCTCTGAGGGGGCCAGGTTCTGGCCGTGGTCCCCGGTAGACCCTAGAACTCCATACACATGACTGATGCCAAAGTCTGACATTAGCATATCAGCCTGGTAAAGCTCCGGGGAGCCTCTGGGTCTCGCCCAGAAAATGGTGTTTCATTACATTCAACGCTGTTTTTTTGTGCTAGTTACAATACAGTATGTATATCTTATATTTATTGAGGACTTGTTGGCGTATGGAAGACGGTGAGGAGGAGGGAGGGGGGGTAGGAGAGGTGTTACTGTTTGGAAGGGGGAGTCCCCTTGAATTATGACATCAGGCAGAGATGACTTCTCTGGGGTACTCTTTCCTATGTTTTGCCTGCATACCACTAGGATCTGGTTGTGGTTCACTGCTTGTTTGTCTCAATAAGGACCTTTCCATAGATTTGTTTTTGCCTACATTTTTAACATTTGTCTGTAGTGAGGCATCAGTGTCATTGAAAAGGTTAAGGCATGCACACCACTTCTTAAGCATTGAAGAAGGGATATTCTGTACTGCCTCATCCTCCCCTGAAGAAATTTCCTCAGCTGCCTCTTGTTGCTGCTTCTTATGAAGGGCTAGGAGTTATTTGGTGGTCAGTTCTTTGCTGTGTTCTTCCACATCAGCGCCATCCAACCCCAAGCCCAATTGCCTGCCCAGAGAAACAATTTTCTCAAGAATCACTTCAGGTTCAGGCTCAAACCCCACAGTCTCGTTCTGAAACACATTCAGGCCACAATTTTCTCCAGCCAGAGATAATGATTCTTAGTCACTTCTTGCCAGGCTTTGGCTATGAGTTTTAAAGCACTCCAAATGTTAAAATGGTTTTCCAGAACTCTCTGAGGGTGAGGCATCTGTCACTTTGACACGTCTTCGGAAAAGTGCCCTATCATAAAGTTTCTTAAAATTGGAAATTATTTTCTTGTCCATTGGCTGAAGTAGTGGAGTGGGTTGGGAGGAATGGACTTTGCTGTAACAAAACTAAATTCCTCGAACAATGCATTTTCCAAGCCAGGGGGATGAGCAGGAGCATTGTTGAGGAGAAACAGGGCCTTGAGTGGCAAACTTGTTCTCCTGCAGATATTTTTTTGATGGACACTTCATTCACCCACTCGGTGAAAAAAATTGCCTTGTCACCCATGCCTTACTATTAGCCCTCCACATCACACACACGTGCTTTTCTGCACATTATATTTTTTGAAAATCCTTGGATTTTTGGAATGATACACAAGCAGGGATTTAATTTTGAAATCACCACTCACATTACCACACAGCACAAAAGTTAGCCTGTCTTTCATAGGCTTGTGTCTGGCCAATGACTTTTCCTCCTGAGTAATGTTTTCAGCAGTCTTTTTCCAGAATGACTGTTTCGTCGCAATTAAACACTTGTTGTGGTAGGTATCCCTCACTCTCCACAAAATCTTTAAATTTGCCAACAAATCTTTCAGCTGCTGGTTTATCTGAGTTGGCAGCATCCCCATGCCTCACAACACTATGAATGCCACTTCTTTTTCTGAATTTCTCAAACCATCCCTTGCTCGCCTTAAACTCTCTTGTATCTGCATCACTCGTTCCAGGGGTATTCTTTAAGATCTTCATGCAGTAGTCTTGCTTTTTCACAAATGATGGCCCCTGAAACACTATCACCCGCTAACTCCTTGTGTATCCAAATTAATAATAACTTTTCAGCATCCTCAAGTGTTAGTGTTCTATGTTTCGTGATTATTTACATGCCTTTTGCCACAATAGCACTCGTGATGTCCTTTTTCTTAGCAAGTACGTTGGATATCGTTGACAAAGATTTGTTGTACTGCCTAGCTAGATCAACAACCTGCACACCATCTTCATGTTTACGAATGATCTCTTGTTTTTCCTCTGTTGTCATCCTCACATGTGTTTTCTTAGGTTGAACCTTACCACTGACTTTTTGGGACCCATTGCATAATATATAATAATTACTTTTATGTTAAAAAAAAAGTATAAAAATTCTTTACAAGCACGATTGACACTAAGCGGGCGGCTCTGGTAAACTGAGGCGGGGTCGCCCGTGCCACCAGGAACCACTCACTTGGTCAACCCATACGTGAATCAACGAAGTTGCTAGTCGATGCAAAGGTCGTAAGTCGAATCGCAGTTTTCGACGGAATTGGGGTCATAACTAAAAAAATTCGTAAGTAGGGGCAGTCGAGGTGCCACTGTATTAGAATGTGTAGATATTTAAGGTGCTTAACATGTTTTTTCAAGTTGATGAGAAGTCTTTGTGGAGAGCCCCTTCGGCTCCTTGGAGCTATACCGTGCTGATATGTATATATTAGACCATGACATTAGTCAATTTGTTTAGAGTTCTAGCCTACTAGGGACCACGAGCCAGAACCTGGCCCCCTCAGAGGCATGAGGAGCAATGGCCTATAGAAACCCCCATGTGGTTGGAAGCATTCTATGTCTGCCATCTACCGGGTTAGGCACCCAGAAAGGTAGGCGTCTCAATGCAAACTTCACTTGGTTAAAATTGCTACCGAAAACCGAACTGTCAAGCACAACTAAGCAATCTGAAACAAGCATTTACAAGTATTTATTTCATTATTTACAACAAGTACAATGGGGCCTCGACTTCCGATGCTAATCCATTCCCAGAGACGGATCGGAAGTTGAAGCGAATTTTCCCATAAGAAATAAAGGGATTTGAATTAATCCGTTCCCCACCCTCCAAAATATTAACATAAAAATACATTTTATACTGAATACAATGTTTTTTTCTAACTACAATACAGTACCAAAGTTACTCTTACCTTTATGGAGGGCTCTTGGTGGCGTATGGAAGATGGTGATGGGGGAGGAGGAGAGTTGTTACTGTTTGGAAGGGGAGTCCCCTTCCATTATCATATCAGGCAGTAATGTTTTCTCTGGGGTACTCTCTCTCTCCTACGTTTTGCCTGAATACCACTAGGACCTGGTTGTGGTTCAGTGCTTGTCTCACTACAAATTTGTCAAGAGACATTTGTTTTTCCATTCATTTTAACATTTGTCTGTAATGATGCATCACTTTAGCACCCATAATGTCCTTTTTCTTAGCTAGTATGGTGGATATCGTTGACTGAGATTTGTTGTACTGCCTAGCCAGTTCACCTACCTGCACACCATTTTCATATTTACGAATGATCTCTTGTTTCTGCTCTATGGTCATTCTTACATGAGATCTCATATGTTGAGCCTTACCACTGACTTTCCTGGGACTCATGGCGTATTATATAATAATTACTTTAATGTTCAAAATGCAAAAAATCACCACAAAAGCAGAATTTCTTATAGGCGCGATCGTCACTAAGCGGGTAGCTGTAGTAAACTGAGGCAGGTCGGACCACGTGACCGAGTACCACGCGCTCGGCCGACCCGAATGTGTACCAACAAATATCGGATGTCGAGTCGCATTTTTCGATGAAATTTATATCGTAACTCGAAATTATCGTAAGTAGGGGCAATCGTATGTCGAGGTGCCACTGTATACAAGTATACAAATACAACAAGTATTTATTTCATTATTTTGGGATTCATTGACTGAATGGATCAGGAAAGGTGTTAGGCTTTCCATAGAGAACTTTTATTGATTGTTTTATACAAATCAAGGATGGGTTTTAGCATATATTTCTTTCTCATCAGGAGTGAGCTTAGTAGCAGTGAGCAGTGGGCAGTTGGTGAAGGACTAGGTGTTGTGCTATCCCAGTCTCTGGATATTCGAGAAAAGCTTGATCTTCTTAATCTTCTCGGCTCCAACTCGTCTGATATATCCCTTACTTCTGGTGATGATTTACTATCTATTCTAGACAATGAAAAGTTGGAGAGCATACGATGTTATTTAAAAGGACTACAAAATAGTGATTCCAATTCTACAAGGTTATTTACAAGTAAGGTAAGAGATTGTGATGCATTATATTCTTTATTTAAAGCTCAATATGTGTTTTGCTAATTCATATGCTTCCATGCATTACAATACTGTATATGTATAGTATATTTTAATATTACATTATGTTCATAATGCCATATACTTTTTTCTTTTAACCCTTAAAGGGCACAGTACATTTATAGCTGGGGTGAGTAACTATTGCGGGACAGTGCACCACGGCTTCCTGAGTTTTAAGTCCTGATATTGTCACGTCTAGGAAATCATTGCACCAGGCCACTGAGATCAAAGCCGACATACCAGGAATCACAATCAGAATCTGGTTCTCTACGAGTTGATGGGAGGCCGGAAATAAGAGGCCAAAAACACCACAAGGGACAACTCGGATATCCACACCGATACTGAACTGCAAAATGCACATGGGAAAACAAATCCATATAGCAGCAGCTGCCTGTGAGACCCCACTCGGGGAAGAGTAGGGTAAAAAACCCGCATTGACTATAGAAAAGGACACCAGAGCAACCCCTCCCCCCCCCCCCCCCCCCCCCCCACACACACAAAGGACATCACATGGAAAACACAATGCATAGTCACTGAAGAACGTAGAGCCAGAAAGGGGATAGAGAGGATTGAAGAAGGGACCCTCCCCCCAACCTCTTTGGACGGGAGCTAAGTAAAATCAGAGATGCAGCTGGACTTTACCTAGATAGGATTCTGGGAGTCTACTCTTCCAAGCATGGCCTCAGGCCTTGGTCAACCTGTGATAACTAGATCTAACAGGCTGTTGATTGGAGCAGCCAAGCCACCAAGCCACATATCCACTACAAAACTGTTGATCCAACACTTCTTGCAGAAACTTACCTATTACTTCTTGAAGAGGTTCACCTTTGTCCTGACAATATTTCTTATGCTTACTGGGAGATTATTGAACAGCTGTGGACATCTGATGTTCATACAGCGTTCTCTGATTGTGCCTATGGGATCTCTGATCCTCATTGCATCTATTCTATACTGTATTTCCTTCCACATCTTTCACTCCAATATGTTTTTATTCTACTGTGTAAATTTGGGACCTGACCTTCCAGTATCTTCCAGGTACATTTATTATATGTATAAACATTTCTTTCTATCGAGTACATTTTGAGAACTTTGAGATGGTCCCAATAATTAAGATGTTATATCATGCTTAGTCGTGCCGTATATGTTCTCTGTATTCCTCTGTCAGCAATCTTTCCTGCTCTGGAAGTGGGACTAAGTAATGAGTAGTATTCACGGTAGGACAGCACCAGTGATTTAAATGGTTTTAATATTGGTGGGATCCCAGACTTTGAATGTTCTCATCCTCCATCCTATCATTTTCCTCAGGGAGGAAGTGAACTACCACCCAACAGATGCCATAAAGTATGCAGTAATAATGAACATTGGCATTCCGTAAGACTGGTGAGCATCTCTAAATTTGCAATCAGCGAGTGTGGGCTCGGGGGGGGGGGTCATCCTGAACCACGCCAAAGACCAAGGGGGTTGCTCTCCAGGACCTAAAGGCAAATACCAAGCAAAGATTCCATGCTTGGGGGCCATGTACCAACAATTTATTCTGTACATTATATATATATATCTGGGTCTTACCATTACAAATACAAAGGACTGATATTGAATGCAGCTCAGTCAACAGGTACAGTTGCGAAGGGCATCAGCAACATACTACAGTACATAAAAACAATCATGTGTTCCCCTAAGGAAAGAAACCCCAATGTTCCCTAACCCTGAGTCTTGCATAGAAGTCACAAACCCTTGCACCTCTCAGGGATGGACACCCAAACCAACCAGAAAAGGTAACCAAGTCAGGGTCAACACCAGCGAGCCCCAATTGAAGTCAACTATAGATACGTGCAGCTTGAAGTGAACAGTTTTTCAAAGTCCACACAACAAGTGAGACTTGTAAATACATGCTCTTGAGGCAAACACAAAAGATTCAAACTCAAGTTCAAGTTCAAGTATGTTTATTGAGATAAGCAAGAAATACATCTCGAAGGGATAGAGTAGCTTGGCTATTTCTACCCCCCTTGGGGTAGCAACTGTGATTCAAACTGTGCACCAGTAAATGAGCCAACACAGGACAAAGTCCAAAGAATGACCAACACTTATCTGGATAAATTTTGAGACCCCTGGGCTTGCTAGTGACTTGAGAAGAAGAAATAGCCATGGCTGCACTAGGCAATTGACTGGAGGGTTTTTCTAGTGAAGCCTGTTGCTCCTCAGTGCATGTAGCCTGTATATCTCCACTGCTGCCCACCTGATGATGGGGAACTACTGGGTGAAAGACCTTATTATTGGGTGGAACGTTGGCCAAGTTGTTTACGTTTATCCCTCTATTGTTCGTTTTGCTTTGCTCTACCTTTCTGATAGTTGCCTTGGTGAGGGTGAACAGACTTCCTGCCTCCGAGGGGAGCCATGTTTTAGCTTGTGGTCCCCAGTAGGCATTTATTGACTTGCATGGGCCTGGTGTGACTTGATATGTCTAGAGCTAGCAATAGGGAGCCACAGAGATTCCTCCACAGAAAAAGGCACTTATTTTGTTGTGCTAATGTTTTTTGGTGGTACCTGGTTTTGGTTTCTGGTGGTACCTGGTTTTGGTTTCTGGTGGTACCTGGTTTTGGTTTCTGGTAGTCATGAGTGTCTCAGACATATGGTGCCTCATTCTAAAGTTTGATTGTTAGGCCACTGATAATGTCAATAACTTTCCTATGTGTCTGAAGGTGGGTGACTTTACATACCATTTATGAGACTAATTTTTTTTTTTTTTCAGTCCACGAAAATACCACAGAAATGCAAGGATAACAGTAGCTCGAGGAAAAATTATCATTTACTGCACAACTCAAATGAACACAAAATCGTAGGAGTTGGGAAACTTAAAGGAAGCCGTGGCTCGAGTCAGAGCATCACCATTAAGTCTATAAGGAACCAACAGTCTACAAAGCTTCCTAGACATGATCATTTAAGCATGACTCACTTGTCAACACCTACTCAAAGCTCCAAAAAGAACTTAGCTCAATATGATCAGCAAAATAAAAAAGGAAAAAAGGTAATTTTTAATTTTAAGTTAAAAACAGGAAGTTCTGTATATTGTACTGCATTTTATGTATTAATAATTGATCTTATTATTCCCACATTTTGTACTATCAGTCAGTATTCGTTTGGTGAATATCCATCATCAGGAACAGAAAAGCTGTTAAGTTTACCGAAGTCTCCCTAGCCAAAGGTACAGTTGTGGGTGCAGTCACTCTGTGCTAACATAAATGTTAATGATCAATTGTTGTACACATAATCTCTTTACTGCATTTATTTGTAAAGGTGTTATTGCCTATTGTGCTCTTCAACCCTCTTCTTCACTTTTGTGTTTCTGGTGCAATCTTCTCTCACTTTATTCTTTGTTCATCTTAATTGTGTGTCAATACAGTATATTGGTTGCATAACTATTTCTCCTCTAGGTTTTTTCATCCCTTTGGTGTTTGTAGGTTCAGTTCTTTGAACGTGTCCTTGTAGTTCAGGTTTCATTCTTCCAGTATCACCTTTGTGACAAATCTCTGAAGCTTCTCAGTTTTTCATGTGTAGTACTAAACAGGGGGTTCCATACTGCTGTTGCATGCTCCAGGACTGGTCCAACTGGCCTCTATTTAGTATTCAAAAGGCTGCTAAGTCTGTTTGCTTTGCATGTGCTGTTATGTTTGTTTGTTTTATGTGCATTTCTTGGGGGATATCTGATGAGATGATGTCCAACTCTTTTGGCATTTTGTTGTCCTTTTTCCAATCTTTTCTGGGGGGAGCCCCGTCGGCTCCACGGAGCTATCCCAGGCTGATATGCTAATGTCAGACTTTGGCATCAGTCATGTGTATGGAGTTCTTAGGCCTACCGGGGACCACGGCCAGAACCGGGCCCCCTCAGAGAGGCAAGGGGAGCAATGGCCAATAGAAACCCCCATGTAGTTGGAAGCATTCTATGTCTGCCATCGACCGGAACAGGCACCCAGAAAGGTAAGCGCCCCAAAACAAACCCCTATTCTGGTTAAAATTGCTACCAAAAACCGAACTAGTGGATAGAACTCCCCAACCGAAAACAAGCATACTAGTGTGACGTCACACACTGCCGCGCCGCTGTCTGCGCAGCTCCCCCCTCCCCGGGAGGGGGAAGGGGGAGCCCAGACCCCCCGCGCCGGCTACCCACACCTCAGTTCTTGAGGCTGATGCTATAGGCGATGGTCGTGTGCTCTGGCTCCGGTGTCACTACTGCACTGTGCTTTGCGTGTGGTGTTAGTTTTGTGGGTGCGAGAGCCAGGAGTTATCTTCAGTACTCGGGCTGCATGCGCCTAGGGCTGCCTTCCCTAGGTGCCCTGTAAGTACTGCCCTTGGGGCTTGGGGCCACCTTCCACAGGCTCCTCGGGGTCTGCCTCTGCTGGTCCGTTTTACCTTTCGGTTTTTCGGCCGCCTGTTGGGCTCTTGGGTGTTTCTGTTCTCCCTTGTTACCGGCAGGTAAGAGGCAGTTTGCACTGGTAGGGGCGCAGGGTGCTGCTCAGCTTGTATTTCCCGACATCGCGGCCGGCTCTGTTCCTTGGGGTTCGCTGTCCTCTTGCGGGGTTTTGTTTTTCTTTTTCTTTTTGCCTGGTAGGGGGTTCTGTCATTTTATTCAGTTTGTTTTTGCCCTTCCACTGTTCTCCTCGGTGGCGCCCCCTGCTAGGTCCCCGTGAGTGTACACGTCCCTGGGGTTCAGCTTTAGAAGAATGAGACTGCTGCGTTCCGGAGGGGTCCATGGGTGGTTGATGCTTGGTTGGTCAGGCCGGGGGTGCTTCATGTTTTGTGTCCGGTTGCGGCGCTTCGCCGTTATTTGCGCGCCACAGCTTCTGTGTCCGGGGACGCGCTGTGGGTTGATCCGGTTTCCCTTCTTCCCTGTTCACGGGTTCGGGTCTCTCAGGTCGTCCGCAGGGTTATTAGGTCCAGCCAGCCTGCGGTCTATCCCCGTGCCCATGACGTTCGTAAGTTCGCGGCTCTTGCTGCCGTCTTTGGGAATATGTCTTGGTCTGATATTCGGGCGCGGGGATTTTGGCGGTCGAACAGGGTCCTGGCTGCTCGTTACCTTGTGAATGTCCCTGGGCCTCGTCGGGCCTGTGTTGCTTTGGGTCGGCGGTTGCAGCCAGTTGTCTCGGCTTCGAGTTGAGGGGTGAGCGACGACCGCCTCCCGGGTAAGTCCCTCTTTTTCTATCTGTGGGTAGTTAGCTCCGGGGAGCCGACGGGGCTCCCCCCAGAAAACCAGCGTTGAATGTAATGAAACGCCATTTTCTGGGTGAGTCCCGGAGGCTCCCCGGCATCCCTCCCTCCGGTCGGCGGTTTTTCGCGTTTTTGACATCCAGCCTCAAGAACTGAGGTGTGGGTAGCCGGCGCGGGGGGTCTGGGGCTTCCCCTTCCCCCTCCCGGGGAGGGGGGAGCTGCACAGACAGCGGCGCGGCAGTGTGTGACGTCACACTAGTTTGCTTGTTTTCGGTTGGGGAGTTCTATCCACTAGTTCGGTTTTTGGTAGCAATTTTAACCAGAATAGGGGTTTGTTTTGGGGCGCTTACCTTTCTGGGTGCCTGTTCCGGTCGATGGCAGACATAGAATGCTTCCAACTACACGGGGGCTTCTATAGGCCATTGCTCCCCTTGCCTCTCTGAGGGGGCCCGGTTCTGGCCGTGGTCCCCGGTAGGCCTAAGAACTCCATACACATGACTGATGCCAAAGTCTGACATTAGCATATCAGCCTGGGATAGCTCCGGGGAGCCTCCGGGACTCACCCAGAAAATGGCGTTTCATTACATTCAACGCTGGTTTTTTTCTGGTCGGGGGGAGCCCTCTTTGGCTCCCCTTAGCTATCCAGGCTGATATGAATGTATTAGACCCTGGCATCAGTCAGAGCGAATGGAGTTCTTAGGCCTTCCGGGGACTACCAGTCAGAACCTGGCCCCCCACAAAGGGACATGAGAAGCAATAGCCTAAAGAAATTCCCGTGTGGTTGGTAGCAGTCTATATCTGCCATCGACCGGATCAGGTACCCAGAAAGGTAGGCACTCCAAAAATAACTCTTATCTGGTTAAAAACCTGCAACTGAAATCCGAACTGTTGGACAGAACTCCCCAAACGAAAAACGAGCAAATGAGCATGACTTCACTGTCATTATGCCACTATCTGCGCAGCTCCCCCTTTCCTGGGAAGGGAAAAGGGGAAACCCCAGACCCCTCCACGTCGGCTATCCACACCCCCAGTTCTGGGGCTGGTGTGAGACCTGGCAGTCGTGCGACTCTGGCTCCAGACGTTTACCAGCTCTGTGCCTTGCGGTGTGGTCCTGTCCTATGGTGGTGTGCGAGCCAGGAGTAATTTCACCAGTACTCGGGCTGCATACGCCTAGGGTTATCTTCCCTAGATGCCCTGTAAGTACTGCCCTTGTGGCTTGGAGTTCCCTTCCATAAGTCTCTTGGGACCTACCTCCATTGTGGTCTTTTGCTGCTCGGTGATTGCCCGCCCTTGGAGTCAGCTGGGGTGTTTGATGCACTCCTGTTTGCCTCTGGGTAGGAGGTAGCTTCGTCACTGGTAGCATGGTACTGTGGTAACAAGGTATTCGGCAAGGTACTGTGCAAGTTTTCACCATATAACAGCGGCCGGCTCTGTTCCACCTGTGGCGTTGTACTTGTGCGGGGTTTTCTGCCTGATGGAGGGTCTGCCCTTGGTGTTGTTGACCCTTATCTATTTGCATTCTTGGTACCTACCTCCTCAGATAGGTCCTGACGTGTATGTACACGTCGTTGCTGAACCCCCTCAACGTGTATGTACACGTCGGGGGTTCAGCAATTAGTAGTTTGTTTGGTAGTTTGGGGTGCCGGTTAGCAATGTTCAGTGGAAGCCAACCTTGCCTGGGCTTCCCTTAACAGAGCATCTAAGGGCCCCTGGAAACCCCCACTTGGGCTCAGTGGTCCAATGGATGCGTCCCCCTGGGTCCCATCTCACTTCGTGCGAGTTTGAAGATCCCCGTGTCTCAGGGTGACAATCGCCGGATGTGCCTCCGTCATGCTGCCTGTTAGGTCGGGGACGCCTTCGACCCAGAGTCCTGCAAGTGGTGTTGCTTGCTTATACTCCAGTCCACCCAATCCACTGATCTTCATATTCGGGTGCAGGTAGCTTCACCGTTGCTGTAGTGCCTAGGTTGGTTGCTCACTTAGATGCCCTGAGGCTGCTCAGCTTTTCGGCAGCCTCTACCTTTTATTTTTGGAGGCGAAGAGTTTGGAGGATGGCTTGGCCCCAGGTCCTGGTGTGGAGTTCCTGGGGCAGGGTGGGGGATGACTTGGGGGCTTAGGACTCAGACCTGGTGGTGTTAGTTGCCTCGACTTTGGTTTCGTCCGCACTCCCTTGTCCTTAACCTCTGCTTCAGGCTCTGAAGCGTCTGAGGGTATCAGAGTCAGGGCAGGATGGTGAGACTCGGGCAGCTTTGGGGTGATACCCCTTCTGATGTGACAGCTAAGGCATTTGAGCCTGTTCCTCCAGCCGGTGCTTCTGGGTCTGACCAATGGGCCCCCTTCGTTCCAGCTTTTCCGGCAGCCTCTACCTTTTCTTTGGAGGCGAAGGGTTTGGAGGATGGCTTGCCCCGGGTCCTGGTGTGGAGGTTCCTGGGGCAGGGTGGGGGATGACTTGAGGGGGGGCTTAGGCCCTGTTTGACCCAGCTTGGGTTTTTGGTACCCTCTTGAGCGGGGCTTGTTCTTGCAGGGAGTGGGGTTTTCTTATTCCCCCTCCTAGTGCGAGTTTGATACGGTGTTAACCCCTCCCCGGGTTCGGTTCTGGGTTCCCTTGGGTACTTTGGTCCCTTCCTTCCGGAGGTTTTCGGCCTCTCACATCCCGCCACATAAGGTGCGGGAGGAACACAAATCTACATTTTTGTTCACCATAAGGAATCACCAAGTTGGTATGCTGAGTCAAACAGCTGCAAGGTGTGACCACCACATTGGTTACCAACAGTAAACTAGTACAAAACACTGCAGATAGAAGTAAGTCCTTAATCATTTTTGGATGTTTAGAGAAGGAAATTTCATCTAGGGTGGACCAAGCAGGAGAAGATATGAAAAATCATAGAGAAAATAGTAGGTTTAGGAGAAGGCTCAAAGGAAAATATCAGTGATTTTAGAAGAATAGGAAAATATGAGAAAGACAAGAACCGCCCCTTAAAGGTGACGTTTAATGGAGTGAAAATCATGATGGAAGTGCTTAGAAATGCTAGGAAATTGCAGAGTGATGAGGTTGGCAAACTTTGGTCAATAAGACAAGACCTCTCTAAGGAGGACAAAGAAAACCTGAAAATGAACCTCATTGAAGCAAAACGTCTAAATGGGGATAGAAATGAAGAAGACAGAAATTCTTTTTTCTACAAAGTGTTAGGGACTGGAAAGCTTATGAAATGGTACATAAAAACAAGGCAACAAAATCATTAGTGGAAGGGGGAGTAAAGAGCAAAGGGAAAGGGAACATGTTCCTGAAAGTTGTATATACCAACATAGATGGAGTGAGGTCAAAACTTTGGAGTTGCAAGATATAATTCAGCTTAATGTCCTTGATATTGTCGCATTATCAGAGACAAAACTTGCAGGAAATATATTAAATGAAGTCGTACTCCCAAGGGGCTACTCAGTTTTGAGACATGACAGGAAAAACTAGGAAGGCAGGAGGAGTGGCTGTGCTGGTGAAAGAACACCTGAAGGTAAGAAAGTTAATATTTGAAAACCACGAGATATTGACATAATGGCATTGCAGGTCTGAAATCAGGATGATAAGCTGATAATTTTAAGTGCCTACAGTCCACCAGCAAGCAACACATAGGCAAAGGAAGAACTGGATGACAAACGAGAGGGCCTCATAATGGTCATGAGAGATATTATTGTACAAGGAGATAAAAATAAATCATGACTGTTGATACTGGGAGACTTCAACTTTAAAGCAATAGACTAGGAGGCCTATGAAGTAAGAACAGAGGACTTTTGGACTTGCAGATTTGTGAACCTCATCTTGGAGACAATGATGTATCAACACGTCAAGCAGGCCACAAGAATGAGGGAAGGGGATGTTCCGTCAATACTGGATCTAGTATTCACCACGAAAGAAGAAGAGGTATTTGACATCCAGTATCTTCCTCACTTGGGAAAGAGTGATCATATCCTCTTGGACATTAAATACGATTTGCGATATAATCTAGTAGAGAATGGGGACATTGAAACAGTTGTTAAACTCGATTTCAAGAGAGGATGCTATGGGGAACTTAGAAATTTTTTTCATGGGTATAATTGGACAGACTTGTTGCTAGGTAAGAAAATAAATGAGATGTATGCCATATTTTACAAAATATACGATGTAGGCACACAAACATTCATACCAAAACAGAGATGCAGACCTAGGAAACAGGATTGGTTCAACAGAAATTGCGAGAGGGCCAGAGATCAAAAGACACAGGCATGGAATCATTATAGGAAGAGCCCAAACCCCCAAACATACCAGCGATACAAAGACGTGAGAAATAACTACACGTCAGTAAGGATAGGCAGAGAGGAACTTTGAGAATGGTATAGCAGACCATTAATCAGATCCAGATCCAGGCCTTTTCTATAAATTCATTAAAAGCAAGCTGCAGGTAAAGGATAATATTCTAAGGTTGAAAATGGGGGATAGATACATGGAAAATGAAAATGAATTATGTGAAACATTAAACAAAAAATTCCAAAGTGTGCTTGTACAAAATGAGATCTTCAGGGAACCAGACACAAAAAGAATTCCAGAGAACAACATAGAGCAGAAAAATGTCAAAATAAATATATAATTGTTATTATTTAGCGATGACAATATTACAGATGACCCATGACTGTGATATAAATAACCAGGGTTGTGATAATAGCAGGATTGTTGTAATAATGAGCGCTGTGGGAGGAGTGATGCTGAGAGATGGAGGGAGACAGCATCGTTTACTGACTGTGTGGCTAGCTGTTATTGTTTGCATTCACCATACCAGGTCAGTGGTTCTCTATGGTGAACACAAATGTAGATACTTATATATAATGTGTGTATTAGTGTAATAACAGCAAAAGGATTATGCTGGGAGGAGCCATATGGGTGACGGAGGTGACGTCGTCTGCACGATTTGTCTAGCTGTTTAGAGGGTGGCCACTATGCTCTTTGGGTGCACTACAAGCTTAGGTGTACAGTTACGGTGCATAAAACATGTAGATATTTATATATAATATGTGTATATAGGGTAATAACACTGCAAAAGGTATTGTTGGGGGAGAAAGTTTAGTGTGTGTGTGACCTTGAATGAGTGAGGGAGCCGCCAGCTGACTGTGTGTGTAGCGACGACTCTTAGTGCCTGAACTAACTATATCAGCTTAGCTGTACAGTTGTGGTGAACAAAATATATACATACTGTACTTATATATGACGTCTGTATATAGTGTAATAACACCACAACTGGTATTGTTGGGGGAGAAAGTTTAGTGCGTGTGAAGAGGGAGTGGCAGCGAGTGGCTGGCTGGTGTGTGGCGGTAACTCTTCGTTGCTTTTCGACTCTCAATACCAACTTATTGGTTCGTTATGGTGACCAAAACATGCAGATACTTATATATAACCTGTGTATAGAGTGTAATAGCAGCAAAACTGTTTGTTTATTGTTTTATAAACATAATAATTGAATCACTAATATGCACATCATACTTTTGAGTATAGTGATTATTCACCACTTTTATTATATAAATATATTACAATACACACTATTGAATAATATTACTGCAAAAAAACTAAGAAAAAATCAATCGGAGACATTGAAACAATTAGGTAATAATATCTTTGTGGCAACTCCCATCTGTCAGCGCGGGTGACGCTGACTGGGTCTGACGACCACTCTGTCAACGCCCACTTTTTGTCAGACTTCCTCGGTCAATTGCGCCCAAAATATGTCACCTACGATTTTTTTTTTTTTCCGTGCTCAGGGGACACAAATTAACATGTTTAGATGACGAAAAAAAAATTTTGATTTTTTTTTTTTTTTTCTTGCGCACAGGGGTGTAAATGTCCCAAGGACCCCTGAGCAGTGTAAGGGTAAACCAGATAGGGTTTGTTTTGGGTTGCCTACCTTTCTGGGTGCCTAACCTAGTAGATGGCAGACATAGAATGCTTCCAACCACATGGGGGTTTATATAAGCCATTGCTCCTCGTGCCCCTCTGAGGGGGGCCAGGTTCTGGCTGGTGGTTCCCGGTAGGCCTAAGAACTCCATTTGCTTTGATGCCATGGTCTAATACATTCATATCAGCCCGGATAGCTCTAGGGAGTGTCCGGGCCTCGCTCAGAAAATGGTGTTTCATTACATTCAACGCTGGTTTTTTCAATCTCTTCTTATGTAAGGTTTCTAATTTGTTGGATTAATTCCATCCTTCACTAAATATGTTGAAGTAAATTTTTGTCCAATCCATAGTTTGGCAACCAAAAAATTGAACTGCATAATGTAAATGTTGCCTAACAAAAGCAAGATACAGTTGAAGAATAACATTAGGTATTAGGTAGGTACTAACACTTCTAAGAGACAAATCCCAATATTCTATTTTCCTTATTTTGAACATTATTGCACTGATATTTTTACTTAAAATTCCTACTAATCATGACCCCCCCAGATATTTTTTTGCAATCAAACTTAGCCATTTCAATACCATCCAGCTGATATCCTGTAACTCATCATCATTAAATAGCCTGAGAATCTTCCATTTGTTAGCATGTATCTGCATCTTCCAATCTTTTGACTGTTTCAAAAGCCTAGCTAGAGCATCTTGAAATGATTTTGAGTCTTCTGAATCTATTTCCTGCCAAATTTTAGTATCATCTGCAGATTTGCAAATATTGCTGCTGAATCCTGTCCCTAACCTAACCTTTGAATTGACAGTACGTTTTAATACTAAGTGTAATAAGTACATTTCTTTACTGTCATACATAGTACATAATTGCACTTATGGGGCTGTTACATTTACCTCCCCATTTATTCTCCTCGTTTTCTATTAAGACACTCAGAATTTTAGGATGAAGTTTTAAAGTTCAGTTTGCTATACACAAGTTTTAAATATCAGGAATTTTTTTCAGTTTTATTACACAATAGAGATTTTATACAAAATTTGAAAATATCCTGAGTTACTATACAATTTATTGAAATATTTTAGTTTTATTAGTTTTATAAAACTGTAATATCAGTATAGCTATAGGTTAAGTAGTAATTGTAATTAAAAAGCAATAAAATGCTTACCTTCAAAAATTAAGATGGTTAGGTTAGGTCGTGGTTTTCTATTCAGTTTTTCAGGTAAACTCAAATACCTGTATTCACAATATATTTGACAGCACGGTTTAATACTAAGTGAAAATAAGTACATTTCTTGACTGTCGTACATAGTACATAATTGCATTTATGGGGGCTGTTATGGGGCTGTTACATTTACCTCCCCATTTTTGGAGGACGGGCTGCTATCCCAGGGCAGAGCCTTGGGGCACCTAATTTACAAGGATTTCTCATCCTGGCAGTGCCATTTAAACTTCTGTTTCCTCCTATATAATAATGCCCTTGTCCAAATCATGATATCATGATAGTGCAAGAGTAAACAAAATTATCTACTTTTTTTTTTGTTTTTTAGTTCTTCCTTTACTGTACTTGCTCCTTTCTGTATTTTACTGATTCAGTATATGCATGCAGAGGCTGTTTTCATGGTTCTCAATTCAAGTACCGTAAGTAGCAACTGCTAATTTGAACTTCATGGTTCCTGTAAAATTTCCTAATTGTAGGGGAATATAGATGGCTCAGAATGCTGATATTAGAGGAGTAACATTTTTCAGTATTTTCTCCTATTAAGGTATAATTTGTTGTGGCATATGTAGTAAAATTTATATGATTAGGTAACATCATTTTTTACAATGTCTTATTACATGCTCTCCATTTTCTTTTATCTTTTAGTGCCTTTCACGAGATTTACAACTGCAGCGTACTAGAACCAGGAAAGAATACAGACAGCTAATGAAAGAAAAGAGAAGTGGACTTTTTGAACATGAAGAGGTGGTGTGGCTTTCAGCTGCTACTTCTCAAGAGTGTGCACAACAGCATGACCAAAATGAAAATGATAATGAGGATATAGATATTTTGGGCTAAGCTAATTGCAAATTTTATTTTGCTGTGAAATAAAATGTCTGGGTTGCATTTAAGTGGTTGCCCTTATTTAGATTCTGTAGTTTATATGTACAGTAGTCAGTCTGGCATGTTCTTCTATGCCCCAAGCTCAGCCAGGGCCAGGTTTGTCCAGCAATACAGTAACATCATCTCTCAGGTAATTGCTTGTAGTGGCTCACCAGGCTCTTAGCTAGACTTTTTTTTACCTGCCAGGGACAAGACCTAGTCTTATCCCCCTCATATGGAGCAGGAAGTAAGTTGGGACAAGAGATCATCCCACAACCGAGAAAACTGCTTGTTATAACATATAGTATGATATACACTATGCTGTGTAAAAGTGACCATGTTTTTTTAGGAATAAAGTATGCAATGCATTACAATCTTGAAGAAAATGAGGTTGAAGCAGTTGAAAAAACTGATTTCCGGAGAGATCTTTATGGAGAACTCAGACATTTCTTTAAGGTATTTGACTGGAAAGACTTGCTGTTAGGACGAAGTAAATGTCCTAGTTTTGTGAAGTATGTCAAGTATGTTAAGTTTTGTGAAATATATGATAAAGGCACAAAAAAATTTATACCAAAGCAGAGATGCAAACCTAGGAAACAAGATTGGTTCAACAAATTGTGAGAGGGCCAGAGACCAAAAGACACAAAAATGGAATCAATACAGGAAGAGGCCAAACCCCCAAACATACCAGTGATACAAAGATGCGAGAAACAACTACACAGCAGTGAGGAGAGGGGCAGAAAGAAATTTTGAAAAAGAAATTGTGGACAAATGTAAAACAGAACCAGGTTTATTCTATAAATTCATAAACAAAAAATTGCAGGTAAACGATAATATTCAGAGGTTGAAAATGGGAAATAAATTCAGGAAAAAATGAAAATGAAATGTGTGAAATATTAAATGAACACTTCCAAAGTTATCCCATCACAATGGTTGTACTCTTCAAGTCACTTGTGTTATCCCGTTTTGAGTACTGCTCAGTACTGTACTCACTTCCACCTTCAGAGCAGGAGAGATTGCTGAAATAGAGGGAATACAGAGAACATATACGGCACGCATAGACGCAATAAAGCACCTAAATTATTGGGATCGTCTCAAAGCCCTCCAAATGTACTCACTAGAAAGAAGATGAGAGAGATATCAAATAATATACACCTGGAAGATACTAGAGGGCCAAGTACCAAATCTACACAGTAAAATATCAGTGTACTGGAGTGAACGATATGGAAGAAAATGCAGAATAGAACCAGTGAAGAGCAGAGGTGCCATAGGCACAATCAGAGAACACTGTATAAACATCAGAGGTCTGCGGTTGTTCAACATCCTCCCAGCACGCATAAGAAATATTGCCGGAACAACCGTGGACATCTTCAAGAGGAACTAGATTTATTCCTCCAAGGAGTGCCGGACCAACCGGGCTGTGGTGGGTATGTGAGCCTGCGGGCCGCTCCAAGCAACAGCCTAGTGGACCAAGCTCTCACAAGTCAAGCCTGGCCTCGGGCCGGGCTTGGGGAGTAGAAGAACTCCCAGAACCCCATCAACCAGGTATAACCAGGTAACCAGGTAAAGTGTGTTTGTACAAAATGAAATCTTTAGGGAACCAGGCACAATAAGAATTCCAGAGAAGAACGTAGAGCACACAGAAGTGTCTAGAGACGAAGTGGAAAAAATGCTCAAGGAGCTATGTAAGAACAAAGCAGTTGGTCCAGATGGAGTTTCACCATGGGTTCTGAGAGAATGTGCACCTGAGCTCAGCATTCCACTTCAACTGATTTTTCAGGCATCCCTGTGTACAGGAGATGTAACTGATGTGTGGAAAAAGGCAAACATAGTTCCAATCTACAAAAAGTGGCAACAGGGAAGACCCCTCAATTATAGACCTGTATCATTGACAAGAGTAATAGTCAAAATATTGGTAAAAAATAATTAAAACTAAATGGGTAGAACACCTGGAGGAAAACGATATGATACCAGACAGACAGTATGGTTTTCGATCTGGAAGATCCTGTGTAACGAATTTACTCGGTTTCCATGATCGAGCCACAGATATTTTACAGGAAAGAGATGGTTGGGTTGACTGCATCTATCTGGACCTAAAAAAAGGCTTTTGACAGAGTTCCACATAAGAGGTTGTCCTGGAAACTGGAACATATTGGAAGGGTGACAGGTAAGCTTCTAACATGGATGAAAAATTTCCCGACAGAAAAATGAGGGCTGTAATCAGGGGCAATTTATTAGATTAGAGGAATATCACAAGTGGAGTACCACAGGGTTCAGTTGTTGCACCGGTAATATTCATTGTCTTCATAAACGGTCTACCAGTTGGAATACAGAATTATATGAACATATTTGCTGATGATGGTAAGATAATAGGGAAGACACGAAACATAGATGATTGTTATGCTCTTCAAGAAGAAAGACCTGGACAAAATAAGTATATGGAGCAACACTTGGCAAATGGAATTTGATGAGAATAAATGCCATGTTATGGAATGGGGAATTGGAGAACATAGACCCCCACACAACCTATAAATTATGTAAGAAATCATTAACCCCTGCACTGCGCAAAGCGCCTTTAGGCGCTCTGAGAGTTGTGCTATTTTTTTTTTTAATTAGGCTATATTTTAATGTTTTTTAATGTTTTCATTACTCTGTGTTTTTAAATGAAAATAGTAGAGTTTGGAAGCATTTTGACATTAAATTTACCTGAATATTTATGTAAACAACTAGAATATGTCCTTGACAATTGCCCCAAGAAGTTTTTGCCGAAACCAGGTGCGCAGTGCAGGGGTTAAAGAATTCTGACAGAAAGGGATCTAGGGGTGGTTCTAGATAGAAAACTGTCACCTGAGGACCACATTAAGAACATTGTGCGAGGAGCCTGTGCTACACTTTCTAACTTCAGAATTGCTTTTAAATACATGGATGGAGAAATAATAATGAAATTGTTCACGACTTTTGTTAGACCAAAACTGGAATATGCAGCAGTTGTATGGTGCCCATATCTTAAGAAGCACATCAACAAACAGGAAAAGGTGCAAAGACATGCCACTAAGTGGCTCCCAGAACTGAAGGACAAGGACTACGAGGAGAGGTTAGAGGCATTAACACTTTCGCACTCTGATAACTCCCCTGGCGGCAATCGTTTTTCTCCAGAGTCAGAGTCGGTGATGCGAGAGGCGTCCACATTTTAAAATATTTGTTAAAAATTTTAATTTTATCCGATCAATCTGGGAGTGGTTTTAAAATGAGCACCTTTAGATTGCACACAATTTGATACCCAAATGAAGGACATAACACAAAAATTGATGTCAGAACACTGGAAAGATTATAAACAAGTTTTTGGGCCAAATTTTTAATTATTTGTTAAAATTCTATTTATTATGCTATTATTATGGGACTAGTTTTATAATGCATGCTTTTAGATTGAGAACAATTTGATACCAAAATGAAAGATGTAACACGAAAATTGATGTCAGAACCAATGGTGAAACTCCATCTGGGCCAAATACTTTCTTACTTAGCTACTTGAGCATTTTTTCCACTTCGTCACTAGACACTTGTATGTGCTCTATGTTGTTCTCTGGAATTCTTATTGTCTGGATCTATGAAAATTTAATTTTGTACACACTTTGGAACTGTTCATTTAATGTTTCACACATTTCCTTTTAATTTTCCATGAATCTCTCTCCCATTTTCAAACTGAATATTATCCTTTACCTACAATTTGCTTTTAAAATAAAAAGAATAGGCCTGGTTCTGTTTTACATTTGTCTGCTATCCCTTTCTCAAAATTTCTTTCTGCCTGTTTCCTCACTGCTGTTGTTGGGCTAAGCCCAACAACAGCAGTGTTGTTGTTTCAAGCTTCTTGAAACAACAACAAGCTTCTTGTTGTTTCATGCTTCTTGGTATCGCTGGTATGTTTGAGGGTAAAATATAATCTAAGAATATATCCTCTTGCAACACCCAGTTAAAAGTATTGTTCTAAAGCCATGCTTAATGGTAAAGTTTCTCAGTACTGTACTGATCTGAACAGGTCATATTCAAGAATTTTACCAAGTGAAGGAAACCCCCTTGGAGGATGGTGTCAGGGAAGGAGGCTCTGGAGTGAAGCTGATGCAGAGGTATACTAAGACAATGAAATCAGTAGCATGCTTTCTTAAAGATGGAACTTGCCCCCCTTCCCCAACACATGGGTTGTGAAGTTATAAAAAAAAAAAGATCGCCAGAGCCAAGTGTTTGTTATGCACTAAGCCATTCCAGGCAAAAAAATTAGGTGGTCTTCCCCAACCTTCTCGTTGATAATTTGAGGATTGTTTGACAATTCACTATTTTTCTGACACGTCTTAAAATGAATGTTTTGTAATGTTGATGTGTCATGGTGGGTAGTTTTCTTGGTTGTGGGTTTGTGACCCGCCCCACATGCTGCCTGGCCTACATGAGGGTTAGCAAGATACTATTGAATATCTTGTCCCTAGTAGGTTGTGAGGGTCACCGAGAAGCCTGGCATGTGCACTAAACCTTGCTCGTGCCAGTTATCTAAGCAAAGGAAACACAGTGAGCTATGCCAGAAAAAATGTGTAACATTGTTTGCTCTTGAATAAAAATTTACATGCACTGATTTGATCCAAAGATAGAGTATAACAAATATCTGTGGTGCTAATGAAGTGATGAAATACGTAGTTTTAATCATTATACCTACTTATGCAAGTGGTATAAAAACTTGCTTAGAATATATCAAGAGTAATTTTGTTCAGGTATTATGCAAAATGTAGTAGGTTCATTATTTGGGCTAAACTATATGATTAAAAATTTTAAATTTAATTAACATCAATTTTTTTTTTTTTTTTTTTTTAATTTTCTTTTGTTTTCCAGTTGGTGCCTTTTTGTCTGTATACGATATTGGTGAAGTAAATTTCAAAATATTTTTTATGTATGTATTTTATCCTTCAGTTACATGTTTTTGTTAAAAATTTTAATATACTGTAGTTCTATATTTGTGATAAAGAAATTTTATTTATATTTTGTACTATGAATTGTGATGAGTATGAGAAATAATTTTAAAAAATTTCTGTGGAGAACCCCTCTGGCCTTCTGGAGCTTACCGGGCTGATATGTATGTACTGTATTAGACCGTGACATCAGTCAATTCGATTGGAGTTCTTGCCTACCGGGAACTACGAGCCAGAACCTGGCCCCCTCAGAGAGGCACGAGGAGCAATGGCCTATAGAAACCCTCATGTGGTTGGAAGCATTCCATGTCTGTAATCGACTGGGTTAGGCACCCAGAAAGGCGTCCCAAAACAAGCACCACCTGGTTAAAAATTGCAACCGAAAACCGAACTATCAAGCAGAACTCTCAAACCGAAAACAAGCAAACAAGCAGGCCGTCACAACTGCCGCTGCACTGCTGTCTGCGCAGCTCCCCCCTCCCTGGAAAGGGGGAAGTAGGAGCCCAGACGCCCATGCCAGCCATCTAACCCCAGTTCTGACGCTGATGTGTTGCATGGCGGTTGTTTGACTCTGGCTCCTGTCTCTGAGCAGTGTTGTGCCTAGGTGGCAGTGTTCCGCTATGTGGTGGTGTGTGAGCCAGGAGTAATTCATGGTGTACTGGGGCTGCATGCACCTAGGGCCATCTTCCTGTATGGCCTGTAAATACTGCCCTTGCAGCTTGGGGGTTATCTTCTAGAAGTCTTCCAAGTCATCCTGGACTACCTACGTAGGGATCTTTTAC